ATTTTGAGTTCTTTCTAATAAAGGCCCTGTGCAAAATAAATGCTCAGTGGGCCTATATGTTCGTTGAATTTAAAATTTCCCCTTCTACTCAATTTTTATAAATGTTTTATGCATCAGTATGTTGCATTTGGAGACACAAATAAACTCTTAAAAGGAAAATATTTTCTCTTTAGTATGTTAACTTTGTCTACAAATGCAACATATTAATGTGAAAACATTATAAAAAAATGGAAGGAACTGAAAATCAGGAAAACATTTTTGAAAAAAAATGTTGATGGGGTCTTTGCACCTTCCCTGTCTCAATCTCCAATTTTTTTTATCATCTGTATGAGTACTTTTCCTTTAGATAATGCATTAACATACACACCTTACATTTTCAGAAAATTTCTGCAATTCAACATATGACCGTCTAAATTCTGTTGCGAAACCTTTAGTATTCTTTCAAGAAATTTCCTGCTTACATGAAAGTCTTTTACAGTTTTACATTCTGTTTTTTTAATGTAACATAATGGCTGATACCAATATTGTTCAAAGTTGTATATGTTTACACTATGGAACTAATCATTCTTTGAATTGAGTTCGATTCCTGAACAACTGGATATTTGACTAAACATTCCTTGGATTTGATTTGGTTTGATGAAGAGAAATCTTGACTGACAAAAATGCAGCTGATAACTAACAGATTTTCCCAAACAGAAAATATAAAAAAAATTTAAAGTGAGCACTTGATTTCAATAGTTTAGTTTCACCTATGCTTTTGAAGCAGGTGATAGCTGATAGGTGTCATGTAAAGGCTTTAAGTACATGGTATAGCAATAATTAAAGGTAAGAAGGTACTGTTTCATTCATATTTCTTGGTTTTAAAAACATTTAATCAAATAAGCTGGAAATTTTTTTGAGAAATGATATGATGGTGAAAGAAATAGATACAAAATTATAAAAAATTTATAATTAGCGAAAATTGATATCCGCAAAATTTCAAAATTGCAAAATTGTGAAAGATAACAGCATCAAATATTAGTGGCAGTACAGTATTTGCATGTGAAATAATTATGATATATTAATATAATAATATAATAATTGATGAAACAATTGCAATGAACTGTTTTGATAAGCCAAGGCCAGAGCATTGGAATTTGAACTAAAGTTGAGTATAATGTTATTGTATAAATTAAAAAAATAATTATAGAGACTTCTTACAAAGTTGATCTTCATTCAAATAGCTGAGAATATTTCCCAAAATAGATTGACTAGGCCTTCAAATTTTTTTAATTTCAGTATTACTTTTACTCATACAGTAAAACCTGTCTAATCCAAATGCCACCGTGCAGTTAAAAACATTCAGATTGGGAGGTGTTCGTTATCACAATAGATTATAATCATATCATTGATAATTTAGAGTTTATTCAAAGATGGCAGCAGCATTCTCAGAACAAAACAATCAGAATCTCATTAATCTTTTGTTCACGTTAGTTATTTAAACTTTATATTCATATATAGATGGCAGTTCTTAAATATATGATAGACACCAATAATTCAACATCATAATTTAACCTTTTCCATTAAATATACCCTGTATCAAGCACAGAAACGTATTTACACCCTTTACTAAAATGGCAACCCCTGTATCACGCACTTGTTTCTCCTTAAATATATTTACACTAACATTTTGAAGATATCCCAGTAAAATTACACATAATGCTGTTCCTCAAAGTAGCGTTTTTGGGACTCCTCAGAAGCCCAAAGAACATCACATCAAAATTCTGAAAAATGCATCCCTAATTACAAATATGATGTAACAGACTAACTCCCTTATCTTGTTCTATTCTTGACTTTGAAAAAAGGTATAGGGCAACAGGGGCTAAACCTAATTTTTCAGAAAGTTCAGAAGTTTTCTTTCAAGAACTGTAAGATTAGATTTGAAGATGTGACTATGATTAGTGATTACTCTTTGCATTAGTTTGACTTCACTTGCTAAAAGGGGGCTTCATCTACAGGTAATTGAAACTCTCCATTCAGGGTAGATTTATGTACTAGACTATGACAAACTGACAAAATAATACAGCCTATCATTTTGAGATCTAAATTAATATTTTCTAATATGTTGTACACATTTTTTATCAATCTAAGGCGAAAATGTAACTTTAGAGTTGCTAAAGTAGCAATGTAACCTTTCAGAAATACTGGAATATTTTCATTACACAGCATGATTGCGTACATCCTAAATACCTGTTGGAAAAACCTAAGTAGCTGCTCAAGATACACTAGATATACGAAGTGATGATGTTCTCTCAAAGCTAAAAAGGGAAAGTTTTAAGCATCAAAGAAGTCTGAACGTAACATTTCTGATAAAACTCTAAAAATATGAGGTATAACTCCGAAAGGCTCTCTCAAAAACTAAACAATTATTTTGTATTTCACATAGCACTAATTATACAATGTCTTACCATAATTCTGATAATAGTATACTTGCTTATGTTAGCAAGAATCAAGACTGTGAAAGTACTAGCAGAATGCACATCTCTTAAATGAAGAATATCTAATATTATTATCAAGTTAATGAGTTAATCCCCTGATAGCCATTAAGACATGAATGCAAGTAAAACATACTCGTACTTCATTAAAGCATGAGAATCTCTAAGCTAACTGGCTGCCTCTCAGCTTATAATAGCAGGCATATAAAACAATTTTAGCATATAAGATATGAGGAAAAATTATATTATGAAATCTTATCACTGATGTTATCAAACTCATTAGAATGCTTCCATTTTAGTAATCTATACATTATATAATTGTAAACCTAATGAAAAATCTTTCCTCACTGCTTTCTAACAATGTAGTAGTACATGTAGATGCATGAAATGATACACATATTATCACCTAATAATTTAAAAATATTATTTTCTTCATATTATTGATGATTTTGGTGTTTTTACTCATTCCAAAATAACAATTAGAAATCGAGAACTCTGCATAGTAACATATCCTAACAAACATAATATTTGTGAATCGTATACATGTCACAATGTACTATTTACCATCTACTCTACCCATGACTTCCAGATAAATTCCCGCTATTTTTAAAGTGGTGGCAATCTTGAAAAATTTTTTTTTTGCGTAAAACTATTCACAGTGATATACATCTTTCTTGAGAATATGAAAAAAATCTGTCAACTAGTATTCAAGTTATCAAGATACAGAAATACACCATTCATCTCTCCCTGATTGATACTTGTATAACAATATGTTCCATGCATTGCAATTTATTATAAATCAATATGGCATATCGATTCAAGACTTAAAATCTGGACATTATATCTTCAAGAGCAATTCAATCAGTGGTAGTATTCATACCTGACACAAAAGCAAACATTTACTGATTATAAAAAGTTGTTGTTCTATCGTGTTAAATGAAAAAACAGTCCCAAATTATGAAATGAATGGCTGTTTACATGTGTATTCACCTATCACATTGATGGTAAAGTTCATTTCTGGTCAATACATTCTTTATCTAAGCTGAACAACATAGAAGATTTCAGGATTTATGGGGGAGTTTATAACCAAGGTATTCAAGGTATTATTAACAGCACGCAATATGCAGTTTTTCCAGTTGTTTTTACCAAAATTACCTGTATGTGTTGTTTTGCATTGTGCAATTGTTTAATTTACAAAAACCTAGTGCCTGTATGTTTCCAGGATGTTCATTGTGTAGCAGTGTAGCTGACTGCCTCTATTTTTTGAATGAAAAGATGAATGACTTATCTATGCCCAAAATATACAAGTATTTGTCTCTGTCTATAATTTGAAGTTTGCTGGCAGTGAAGCACAATCGGTTCCCCTGTTGTTTTCCACAAAAACACTTATTCAATATATCAATTCCATTATAAATAACACGTTATCTGCCTTGAAGCTTCTGTTGGAGTTTGCAACTTATGCCTAACCAGTAAAGAGCCTATTACTGATACAATTCTGTCAATATTACTGTGCATAATTGTTATGAACTTGATTGGTATATGGTAACTAGAATAATTCTAACGCATGCCTACTGGCCTAATTAAATAATTCATACCAGACAATTCATAAATTCTTGTTTTAAAAACCTACATATTCTTAATCGCTGAATACCTAATAGAGAAAAATAGATGAAACTGAACTAGAACGTCATGTCAAATTGCATTCTTACTTCTCTTCATCTCATTATTGATTTTGTTAGTATTATGATCTCCATATAGTTAAACCGACTGCAATTCTTAAGCCAGAGCATGGAAACAGTTATATGTTATTGCATTGATGATTGAACAATTAGATTCACCCACTAAATACTTTATCACATTAGTTGGAACATTATGGAACAATCAAATGTCTATCATAACCAAGTTACGTTATATATACTAATGCTCAAGATGCCCAAAGTAACAGTTTTAAACCTGACTATGTTGTGAATGAATTCTTGTTTGTATTTGGTATAACTATAAAGCATTCATAGAATATATGGATTATAGATTATCAAGGTTAGTGCTTTATGGATTTTCCATGTTTCAATGCCTGTGTCAGGATTTTAAGGGCATAATCAATTTTCATATGAATACACGCTAAACCTAGTTTTATTGTATGTAGTCTGAATCCAATATTTATGTAGGTTTAGTCACTATCAGCAAATGAGTTAAACATGTACTTCATTTATGTACTCTGATAATGTTTTGATGATATACAACTTGTAATTTATAGGACCAAAGTAAAATTAATAGAAATTAGTATTCAGTGAAGTAGAGGACCAATGATTGCACTTTATATGACTGGAATATCTAGGAGATGAAAAGCACAGCTGTTGATCAATAATGATATCATCATGTCATGTAGTATTTTTGAACAATTCCATTCCATTCAATGTAAAATTTAGTTATTTAGTACAAGTATTTAGCCCATGGACAGATGTAATAAAACATAATGGGACATGACATTATGCACAATTACAATTTTACTAAAATCAACTAACTCACCTTATAGTTGCTGCAGTTAACCCAACCAACGAGTCCTTCAATGAACTGATCAAAGTCCTCACATGATATTGAACATATGGGGTCCTGCAGGTGTCGTACTAGATCCCCATGAACCTGCAGCCTCTTACGGGTGTCTTGAGTAGACACTGATGCCGCAAACTCATCCAAAGTTGCCATCCTGATACTTATATCCAAATTTTGACTTAGAGTGATTTCTTTCAGCTATAGTTCTATCTATGACTAATTTGATTCGGTTCACTGCCAGAAATTGGTAAAATATATTTGAGATATGCTATATGTCATTTCATTGTTGTCTGCTTATGTCAGATGTATTCCTTTCACACAATTTCACGACCTGAAAAATTGCAGATGCTTCAATACAAACATGTAGCATTATCAAAAACCAGTTGGTGTTTACAAGTTTCACGTTTTCTATATATCAATATCATTAAGAATAGTATGTTTCTTTCAAAACATATTATTGTTCAAGCCGCCCGTAGACAGCTTTTGCCAAGGGGGTTCACTTTTCAAAACACTTCAGGGGGTTTACATTTGACAACTTTTGCCCAAAATCACTTGAAAAATGCTCCAAATGGTCAAAAAGTGCATGATTATGAAACAATTTCTGGCCAGAAGGGAGTTAACTTGAACACAAGATGAAAATATAAACGAAAAAAAATCAATCCAAGTTCTCATTTCATATTTATTTGCTTATGTGGCTGTGATTGCAAAACAAGATGAATAAACAACAACAACAACAAATAGTGACATGTACAGCAAGTACATAATTCCAGATATATGCACTGGTTATCCGCTCGATCATGCTGGTTACCGAAACAGTTAGTTTTGGTAACAAAATGTCGGAACGTCGAAGGTACGATTTTTCTGGAATTTTCGGTTACTGGCGTAATCAAGTGGATCACCTGTGTATATGAACAACATTGTGATAACTGACAGAACAACAAACACTGTTTAATAACCTCAGCCAAAATCAAGTAAACTTAGATCCAAAAGCAAATGACCCTGTAGTTCAACAAGTTAAACCCAATACCACGGCTTTCATTTATAATCTGAGTGTTCTTGTTGCCGTGGTTGGGTTTAACTTCCGTGCTATGCTTTCAGTGGTTGCAAATTCTCACTATCAGTTATTAATAAAACGCGCATGAAATTATATGCGCTGCCATAGGCCATCATTAAAAAATTTTGCATCAAGGGCCGAATAGGCACGGATGTTAAACCTAGGGCGGGCCACAAGAAATGTCAGATAAGAAATAAGGCCCAGACTAGAGTCCATTTCACTGCTTCATTTCGTCAGTAGAACGGCAAAAATAAGAAATTGGGAGACCATTGTGCAATAATATATGGAAAAGTATATTCATAATGTACATGAATGACATTTGTATATCTTGGATTGCTTCTAGTTTGGCTTATAAAGTGTGTGGCCTCTTATATTTGGATGTTTCTCTGCCATGTTATTTTCAATAAGATTAACATGGCTGAAATTCTTCAAATTACAAGACGGCACAGGCTTATTGCACAAAAAACTAAAAAATCTGAAATATACAAATGTCATTCATGTACATTATGAATATACTTTTCCATATATTATTGCACAATGGTCTCCCAATTTCTTATTTTTGCCGTTCTACTGACGAAATGAAGCAGTGAAATGGACTCTAGGTTTAACTTGTTGGACTAATGACCCTGGAATGGTACGAAATATGCATGACACCCAACAGCTGATGATATGTGACAAAAGCCATTACTTCTTAAAATGTTATATGAAACCATACAGTATCCTGACATTTAACGATTACCTAGAGTAAGAATTGGTGAATTGCCTGACAAGTGATCCCTCAGGTGGAAAAGCAATAGAATTCTAGGGAATGAAGAATTCTAATGCCAAGACGAAAGTACTGTTTGAGCAAAACATTATCAATCAATTCAATAAACCTGAATACAAATGCTAAAAAGATAACTGAAAAATAAAAGATATTGGTCCTGCTGTGTTTTCATTCAATTCAAGACGGTCTCTGAAAAAGGATTTTTTCTTTTTTTTTGAAGGTGATCTCATGTATGGTTTGTCAATTTCAGCCATATCAATCAGAGTGAAGATTATTAAAAACATCTTAGATAATTATGCTTCTGTAAAAATATATAAAAAATGTATATATTCTAAGCATGGTGATGCAAACTTACCGATATTTAGCAAAACTAGTCGGCGAAATTTTGTACAGTCCTGTCAGCCATCTTTGATCAATTTCAAATTTATGACGTCATGGACAGCAAGTGCGAGCAATAAGTTTGCGCAAATATTGATTAGTCTATACCCGCCTAAGAGTTTATGCTGACGTTCACTTACCCTTGAACATATTACATCCCGGATCACATTCGACGTGCGGACATCAAACCTTTAAATATATTGATATGTATCTTACCGAATTTTAGACATGACATAGACATTTTCATGTTAGATTAATTCTGGACCCGGGATTTTGAAGAATCGGGCAATGCCATATCATACGGTTCCCTAACCCAAATCTAATCAATATACCAAGCCGAGAATATTCAAGTAATGACTTGACATCAAAACTGCCTTTCATGTTAGACCTGAACTGTGAATCAATCATATTCCCAGACCCCAGGGGAAGATAGATACTATATTCCCGGGTAAGTTAAGTTCGCACATATAATATGCAATATTTGAATTATGTGTAAAATCCATCAAAAAGGCATCTGTAATAACATGTTCATAACAAAAGCTATAGTTTAGAACAAATATAACTATCTGTTGAATTCTAGATGTTAAATTATGCCTTTTAATGACAGTAATTTGATTTTCAATCTTCAATATCTCCCGCCAAAATTGTTGCATTCTGGGAGCCCATGTGTTTGTCAAAATGGCGGATCACGACTCTGATGATGAAGTGCAAACTATTGCTGAGGATATCGTTGTTACGAAGTACAAGATGGCAGCGAAACTTGTCAATGGTAAAGTTATTATCTTCTTCAATTTTATGTTATCAATGGAAAAATAGGCTATTGCCGAAGTGCAATTTTTCAGCATAAAAACTTCTTTATTCTCTGAAACCACGTTTCAAAAATTTCATTTTCATTGTGCAATTCTTGTGTGGTTTCAGCAGCTACACTTACAATGTACAATTGGTGAAAAATAATAAACCATATGTTGAATTTTTTGATTGGGCAAAAAAGCTAATTATCTTTTTCCATGGCACCATTACGTTTTACATGAGTTTTACTTGGGGTTATTTTAGCCAATGTATTGAGAACATATGGTCAGTTATCCCGTTCCAGGACTATAGTCCTGTACGGAGCCAATACATTTGCCTGTACGATTACAACTTGGGAGAATTATCTACGCCCCTTCCACTTAAGAAACCTACCTCAATGCATTCTAGAACTCAAAATGTAACTTCTAATATATTGGAACCGCCGATTGTCTGGGTTAGTTGGCAGAACGAGGTCTTTTTGTTTCTTATGGCTCTTTTGGTCGAAGTTCGATTAAGATGGCGGTTATAACGGAATTTCCCGAACTCTTCCGTAATAGCACGAACTTGGTTTTTCGTTACGTCACTTCCGTGTAAAATGGATTTGTTTCGGGTAAGAGGGAATTTCGAAAATTTCGGACAATATTTTCAATATTTACTGCCATGTCGACATCCTATGCTCTTAACTGTATACCGAATGGTTAAACAATGTTTCTTACCGGAAACAAATCCATTTTACATGGAAGTGAAGTAACGAAAAACCAAGTTCGTGCTATTACGGAAGAGTTCGGGAAATTCCGTTATAACCGCCATCTTAATCGAACTTCGACCAAAAGAGCCATAAGAAACAAAAAGACCTCGTTCTGCCAACTAACCCAGACAATCGGCGGTTCCAATATATTAGAAGTTACATTTTGAGTTCTAGAATGCATTGAGGTAGGTTTCTTAAGTGGAAGGGGCGTAGATAATTCTCCCAAGTTGTAATCGTACAGGCAAATGTATTGGCTCCGTACAGGACTATAGTCCGGGAACAGGATAAATGGTCAGTCTTGTCCAGTTCCTAAACTATAGTCCTGCGGGCATCCTTATATGTTGTGTGTATGATTATAATATGAGAGAATTTGGCATGTGTAACTGCTACAAATAACATACCTGATCATAGATTCCTGAGTATTTCAGATTTTTTTCTGTAGGAGTTCTAATTTTTATTCTGTGAACCAGTTCATATGGTTGAAATAACGAAATAATGAAATGTTACCATGTGTCTACTTAGCAGTTTGTTCTATGTCAACCATCCTGCTAGGTTACATTGTGGAACTCCTCCAAACACGACACTGATGTGGTTTTGAAAAGGGTTTATCAACTTTGAAAATTTAATTTTCTTTGAAAATGTGACTTCTAGGTCGGGGAGGTTCCCCATAGACCCCATGTTGTAAAACTACAAAAAGTGAAATATCTTTTCTTGTGTTGGGCAGATAATATTTTCTTTTACTGGACATATTTTAATTTGTATAACTATCACATACATAAGGGTAATTTGAAAAGTGAAGCACTAAATCTGCTGCATATTCAAGTTTAAGGGAATTTTGTTATACCCTGCCATGGCGAAACTGGTAACTACCTACTCGCATCTGAGTAATTGTCTCCTGATTTCTTATTTTTGGGGTTCTACTTGTACTGACGAAATAAAACAGTGAAATGGGCTTTACTATTATGGAAGACTTTGGTAAATTCCGTTTAAACTAGCATCTTGATTAGAGCTGGCATCAAATGTCGGAATGGTCGATTGTCAGTCGAATGCTCTCTGCGACACCCATGTCGACACAACGCCTCTTGATCGACAGTCGGAATTCACAACATAATAAGCTATTTCCCTATGAATTAAAATCTTTGTTACTACCTGCTGTATGGTGTATTTTAGTTAAGTTTTACCGCCTACATTTTCAAATTTTCTTTTTTGTTTTGATCGACTTGCTGCTCTCGAATTAGGTCTCGGGGCCCCTCGAGATTTACCCTCGAGATTTATTTTCAATGGCTGCCCGGAAATAACAACAGAAATCGTAGTTTTATGTCTATTTATTGCTTTTTCGTCAAAGTCTGATACTTAAACATGGTTAACATGTAAGTTAAATATAAAACATACAAGTGAGGATGACTATTGTGCATCGTATTGCTAATTACAAGCCTAGAAAATCTTAAATTCAGACGGATTTTCTTCAAATTTTTTTCATTTTTCTAATATTATTGGACCCGACAATGTCGATATCGTTGTCGATCGCGAGCTCCGACATGTCGACATTAAAATCCTATTCGATGCCAGCTCTAATCTTGATATAAATTCACTCAAAAAATCAAAAAAAAAACTTGTTCTGCCAATAATCTCAGGCAGAGGATGTTATTTGCATAATGAGGTATGTTATTTCACTGTGCAAGGCATGTCCCAAACTTCGAAATTGTAATATTATAAAGACAGAGTATACTTTAAGTCCCAGGACTACTAGTCTTGGTGTTGAATAACTTTGTCAAGCATTGAAAAAATACTAATTACTGTATGTATTTCATTTACAGAAATCCTAGAGCAAGTTTCAGCCAAGTGTGTAGAGGGAGCTAAGGTTTTAGAGCTATGTGAGTTTGGTGACAAGCTCCTAACTGATGGCACAGCCAATGTTTTCAAGAAAGAGAAAGAAATGAAAAAAGGTAATAGTATAAGCTAGTGTTGTCGCGATTAATCGATACATCGCGATATACATCGCAAAAGCTGATTCTGGCGATGCATCGATGTCTGAAACAAAACATCGATGTTTTTGAAAAAAATTAATTTGCTAAAAATCACCCTTTCTTATCTTATTTTGACGCAAATCGCTTACCTTTCTCATGTCTTATTTCATTTTCCAATGTTTCCTGATATTCTTTCGCTTTAAAACTGTTTTAGCTATTCGAAATGAACCATTAATCTAAAAAAATTACTTTACTTTCATTTCACCTTTCTAGAAGTTCCCGGATGTACCGGATGTTCGGTATTTTAGTGCATTAGCGTTCGGTATTTCAGTGCACTTTTCTCTGACTTTTTCTCGATGTACATCGCGATGTGCATCGATGTTTACTACTGAAAATTGCCGATGCATCGATGTACGATTATGGCACATCGCGACAACACTAGTATAAGCATATGAATTTTCACTTCAGGGGTACTAAGGTAGACTATATCCTGTAGTCTGAATTTTTTTTGAACTTTGGAATGAAAATATCAGACTATAGCCCACATATATTAAATTTTGGGATTGAGCTAGCTTTATTCCCATTTGGCAATATGCTGTGTTACTTTTTGTAGCACTTAATTATACCTTAATACTGAAGAATACTTAATAGTGAAGTGAAAATTAATAATTTTATGCAGAAAATTTCATGTTTTTTTCTATTGGAAGGACATGATGATCAAAAGACCGAATTCTCAAGATATTCAGTCTATTGAATATAGACTAGGTACTTAGGCAAAGAAACAAAACATAAGGAGAAAGATATGATAGTGCAATAACTGTATAGAAGTGAATATTTTACATCAAATCCATTCATTATAATAGTCAGCGACTCAACATCAGAATAAACATCAGTGAAGACACATTATTATGCATATTATTAAGTTTATTACTAATATTACACATATGATCTTTTTTCAGGAATTGCGTTTCCTACCTGCATCTCTGTAAATAACCTCATCTGCCATTTCTCACCTCTCAGGAGTGAACCTGATGTTGTCTTGAAAAATGGTGATGTTGTAAAAATGTAAGTGATCAAATCAAGTTGAATGTTAAGTGATCTTTATATTCATCATCTTATTCCAGTACTAGTATTTAATCACGTGTAATTTATATATTGTAAGATTTACACAATGTATCAAAAGTATTAATTCTTTTGCAATTCATGTAACTTAAAAACTAACAACCACTTTTCATATTTGATTTCTGTAGATTTAAAAGCTTGAATAATATCTTGAATGATAATTATTATTATTTTTATTGTGATATTGCAGAGATCTCGGGGCACATATAGATGGCTTTGCAGCTGTTGTAGCACACACACTCGCCGTAGGTTCATCCAAGGTAATATATGCTTTCATTATGGTTTTATTATCCTTTGAACGAAGGTCGGAGGGATATAGGGAACGCCTCCATCCGTCCGGGCAGTAACTCAAATACTGTTGGCCTGGTTTTGTTCATATTTTGTACACATATACCCTATGGGGGTAGAAGTTCTGCTCAAAAACCTATTTTCAAAATGGCCGCTTATTTAAAAATGGTGGCCATTTTAACATGGGGTTGACTATTTACTTAGCATCGGGGTACCATCATGTATGTCACCATGGGGATAGGTACAATATGTAAAACTGTAATAGCAATATGTTTTGAATGTAAAAAATGCAGCAAACTCCTCGAGTCGAGGTCTCCAAGGCAAAAAAATTCCTGACCCTATCATATATCTGTTTATTATTCTGTTTATAACTGATTCAAGAGTGTGGCACTGAACGAACCTATATGCCTATTTGTTATTTGTTTAGTTGTTGGTTGGGTAACATGTTTATGACGTCACAAATGATGCGAAGAATCTTTAACCCCGTCAATGCGAGAGCCGATTAAATCGGCTTTGACGTCACATTTGTGTTTGCGAGAGCCGATTAAATCGGCTCTGAAAAACCTTTGCTTCAGTGCTAAAGCCGATGAGATCGGCTCTACGTCATCCCCATGTAAACGGGGCTTCCCCTCAATAATTATGTAAGATATGCAGATCTTCACAAATAAACATGATATTGTATGTCTAAAACAATAAATATTTCGAAACACTGTGCTTGTTTGTTCATTTTACTCAACTTGATCGAGTTTTTAAAAACAGAAAAAATAAAAACAAATTTTCAAACAAATATTTGGCGGGAAAAATGGCGGCACTAAATGACGATGGCAGTGATTTTTATTGAGAGCTTATTTGATAGTGATTCTGATCTCTCTGGTGTCTGAAGCAAGTCAGATGATGATGGGGATATTCCCATACCCTGTAATCAGTGAAGATGCGTCCCTGGACCTCAGCAATCAAAGGAAAGATTACAATTTGATAAGGTAAACAGCCCGGGAGGACCAGAAAAATTCCAGTCAAGATTTTTTTGAGTTGTGTCAATTATAATCGACATTGTAAGTTATCAGCTGAATTATTTGAACTGAATTATTTTCATTTAACTATTAGATGAATACTATTATCGAACAAATTTTATTTATAGTGAAAATAGAGCAAATAACATACTTGGGAAACTAAGTCACATGACTTGATCATGGTGATCATGTGACATTCAAAATGGCGCCATCCAGGTTAAAAATGAACAAATTTGCTCTTCAATATATCGCATATTTTTGAGGGATCATTGTCTTTTTGCAATGTAATGACACAGAGAAAGGTACTGTATGTATACCTGATAACAAATATTTATTGATTTTATGATATTTATGGCTCTATAGTGTCTAAACCACTAATGAACTGCAGAATTCATGAATATTTTTTCAATTTTATTTTGGATTTTTGATTTTCTTAATGTTTCTTTATCATTTCATTGTACTATTTCATTGCCATGGACAATGCAATACATATACTAGTATACCGAATACTCCTTTACAATGACGTGTATGGCTATGTACAATATCCATGCATCTAGAGCTGATACCAAACTTTTTCAAAGACAAAAATGCAGTTGGGAATTACCGGGGGAATTACCTTCTTCTAAGGCCACTACATGTTATTGTATATCGTGAGAATTGGCTAGAGACCAACCATGGCCATCTTTACTTTCCAATATTGTCTTAATACATATCCCCTAAAATTTGTATGTTTTACATTTTTCTTCAAAATTCTCTTATTTTTAACATTGGGAAACCCTCACTTCAGCAAATCCACCTGTCATTTATTTATGTTCCAATCTGTATCAGATGTTTTTTAATTGAATTACAGTAATGTTGTATTTCAGTCCAGTTTTGCCTTAGTTATCCCACCTCGATTTATTTTTTTAATCCCGGCTTTGACTACAACCTAGTCAGTCACTGAATAAAGTGAAGAGCTATACTGTTGTGAACTTCATGTATAGCTGACAATATATGTTTTAGGAACCAGACCCAAAGCAAACAATACCAAATGCCGCATCAACGATATTTACTTTGATTAATACATGGATGGAGTTTTGGATCATATGACTGCTGAAAGTGCAGTGTAATGTTATGCTGAACAACTGAAATGTACAGGTAGGCAATTAAACAGTGTTTCAGTGTTTACCAATATTATTAGAGTATAGTACATAATTACAACTTATGTACATGTACAAGCTTTATAATATTGATTATAATTAATGTAGTATAGTACAATACAATATACTGTTTTACAATATATTACAACATGTACAAAAGTGTTTAACAGTATATGTTCAGCATGGAGATCATATATGTACATCAAAAGGGATGTATCAATAATTTATCTACTGTATTCATACAGGCAGTTATACAGTACCTGTACCTGTAACATGGGTGAAGCCAAACTTGAGACAGGTGAGGCTTTTGCCTCACCACCATCTTTCAGGAAAACATTTATTTGGACAATATGTGTATATTAAGTCTGTGAAGATAAAGGAAAGCACATTATTCTAGTATTGCCCCAATAAAATCAATTTGATCTCTGGAAGAGGCAGATTTCAGTATAAATATTTTTCTGAAATTTGCCTCATTTCCATTATGGCTACTCCCTTGTATATAGTAAATGTTATGTTATATAGAGATTATTTAATGGGAGAGATGGTATATGAATTTTATTCTGTGGGAAAATATAATATTGGCCAAGGAAAATATCATATCGACCAAGGGCAATAGCCCAAGTGTCAAAGTGATATTCTTCGAGGTCAATATCATATTTTCTCAGGGAAAATATTAATATTCCAACACAACTGAAACTTTCGAATTTTTTTCTTTTGAAAAGTTTTGAATGTCATTACCCAATGATTGTGTGATATAAAATGATACAATTGAATTCATCATACAGATTAAAATTTTCAACTTTAGTTAGAACAAGTTTTAAAATAATAAATAATTGGAAATCCCTGGGAATACATGTAGTTCTAATATCGGATCCAATACGGGATCTGATACAGGATTTTGCCTTTATTTATTTCCCAGGGAAAACATGCTATTATAATTATGGAATAAATATTGATATACAATGATCTTTCCTTCACAGCACAAAGAGAAGAGGAGTAACTCAAAGATTGCAGTAGGCTATACAGCGGGAAAATACAGTACATCCATCCCTGAATGAAAGCCTTCATTGAGATGCTGCTAAATATCTAAATATGAGTTTGATACAGAAAGCAACACTGGAGTCATATTGGACAAAAACAAGGTAATGATTTTTTATCACTGATGGCCAAGGGGAAAGGCAGGTGTCATTCTTAGCCTAAAGGCTGAAAGGCCATTTCTTTGTACTTTTCTTTGGCATTTTTGAAAAAAGTGGACCCAAAGCTCATTTATTTAAATTCAAGTCCCGCAAGTCAATTTCCAGAGCCAACCCTGAACATATGTGTATTGCCATTATTGTGACACTATAACCTTTTCATAAGATTAATTAGACTAATCAGAAGACTGATTATAGAGTATTTTATAGGTCATGTACAGAAACAGGGCACTATGTAAAAAAAACAAAAACATTTTGTAATGTATGAATTCAAATCATGAAGTGATGATAAAAAGTACTGTATATGAAAAAATGAGAATTCGGCCCAAAATGAAAAATTTGTCTAAAATGAAGATTTTTGAAGGAAAAAGAATTTAATTTTAGAAAAGAAAATTCGAAAAATGAAAAATCATGATCCTAGGGAAATAAACCCCATGTTCAATCCCTCCCAGTAAATAACCTCTATGCATTTTCTCATTATAGATGGAATCAGGCAACCCCCAGTGAGGAAAAAACTTTACGAGAGACCGATTTCAGCTGCTTTTGCGGTTCTGGCACATCAACAATAATGAGGTTGCAGTAGTTGAAGACAAGCCTGGCTGCGACCCCTATATCAAGGTCAGGTGCTTGGTTTCTGCATTCAACAGGAATTCTGCCATAATACTCTCCATGGAAACATTGCTCTGGATGAGGGGCTGGTCTCTATGAGCAATAGGTAAAATTTTTACCTGATAACTTTCTGTGAAAATATGTAATACAAGACCCTATTTTTACACTTTTATATTTTGCTTTCACATTTAGAACATATTCACACCACAGGAAAAGTGCATTACTTTCCTGGTTAATGCCATATATCTTTAGACAAGTTACATGAAATAACTTTATTTTATTTTTTTCTTTGTTCCTCTCAGACATTTGATTTAGTTTACCCTGAAAACAGAAGAAGGGTACTACTGAAATTAAATCAACAAAAATCTATTTACTTTCTTATTGTTTCTAAGGTGGGATATGTCCTGAACATAGAATTCACTCAAATAAGCACATGATGCAGTAAGATAATCACTGATTATAGGTAAAAATCAATATGTTGCGGGATATGCACTAAGTAGGAAGAATATTATATATTATTATATCACTATCATATTCCTCACTCTCTGATTGGTCCATGCCCTACATGTGACTTAATAAACAAGCGATATTCATCTGTCACAACTTAGTCCAGTGTAATTTTGATTGTATATATTCCGAGGGTACATTGTTATGATTAATTAGACATCAATAGTTTGTCATTCCATATATGTGAGTGAGGAATATAACAGTGAATAATAAAATAAATATTTAATTCTATTTTCGGTGAATGCTTGTGACACTTTCACAAGATATTCAACTTGCACTTCGGGCTTCGCGAAATATCACTAGTGAAAGATGCCCAGGTATTCAACCTCAATAGAATTAAATATTTGTATATTATTTCTGACTGGTGTATATTGTAACTTCTAAACAGTAGAAAGAACATATTGAACAGACTCAGTGAAATACATGTCTCAAGAAAGAAATCATGGTACATAGATTTGTACAAAATATTTATTGAACATATAGCGCATTTTCTGAAACTCGGTCATATGATAAGTAAAACTAATATTTGTTATACAAATGTTAATCAGATAATCATTAACATATTGCAGGATAACAATGATTTATGGGGACAGTGGATAGCACAGATCAAATGATCACACAGTGATGGATGAACTCCAATACTGTCAAAAAGTGGGCGTTGCAATACTCAGTTAAATGCTGCTAAACTCTTACATTGTATATGGAGCACACAGATACAGAAAAGACAATGCAAAGGTATGTAGTTTAAGAAAACTCATGTCAGCATGAGCTACAGGTATGGTCGAAACTGATCATTGAGAGGGTACCTTTGGTACATACATGTACATATACTAGCTAATCTTTTCACTAGGTGTCGAGTTTGCAACTGTTCTGAACAGTTAGCTAGCCCCTTGACTGTCAAGTCTGATTATGAATTTCCATTACCCTCATATGGCAGTGTAATCATGTAACAAATGTATATTGTATCTTTTTTAAAGAAACTGATATAAAATGATTTTTTTTTCTTTAATTTTCTTTTAATCATTCAATCAATCACAATTTTGAATATACATCACAATATATATATCGATTTCAATGTAAGTGAACATTTATAAATAATATTATTGATGTTTGTATTCAGATACTCATTTATGATTGACCTGATTGAGGGCCTAGCAACTGCCTCCTGTCCTGCACTTTAGTTAATGCACTAAGCCATTGGCCAGGGATATTACCTGACAACAAGAAAAGCAGTATGTTCTGTGTAGCCAGCTAGGGACCTGTCACCATTCCAGGACAGGAAATGTGGAAGGGGGTTCATTTGAAGTGTTTCTTCTAAACAGCAAGAGTAGAGGATATGAGTTTGAGCAACTCCTGCTGGCAGACACATTGAACATGAATATATAGTAATACTATAGCTCAGAATATATAAGGGTTATGTACTGGGAGGTTTTGGATATGGGGTTTATCCAGAGGGAGATATGCATATCTACCTGAGGGACCGTAGGGACCGAAGGTAGATGTGCATATCTCACGAGGGATGAACCCAGTATCCAAACCCACCGTACATAACTGCTTTATCCTATACCAAGTAGAGTTTTCAGGGGCATATGGCCATTTCAATAGTACAAGGTGTATGCAAAGTCATTTTATTGCATTTCCACTACTTACCGGAAGCGGGAAGATATGCACCGAAGTGGGAAGATATGCACCGAAGCTGGAGATATGGCGGGAGATATGGAGGTTCTGGATATGGAAACCTCAAAATCAGGATACGGGATATATCTTACCAACTTATCTCCCTAAAACTCTACTTGGCATAGGATAAATCTCATTCAATACCTTCTTCAACCAACAATCTGTAGGTTGAAATGTAAAAACGATGGGAAAAAATTAAAGGAAATTACAAGGGGCATAAATCAATCAATCTAAATGTCAAATTTATATGACTGTAACTTTTCAATATAAATAATGAATAAAACAAACAAACAAACAAACTAAGCATGACTTGTCAAGTTAAACCATAATCTGTTGCCATGGTAACATACATTCATTGCCATAATGCCAACAATAAGTTAAAACTTTGAGCAGATTTTTTTGAGGATAGAATTGAAATCAATCTGGACGCTAGTGAACTAATGTACTGTAAATTGCAAATTCTTACAAAATGTTACATCCACTTACCCATTGTCATGGTAACAGATATTGATATATGTATGTGTGAAATTCTCTTATCTTCTATACATGTATTGATCTAGAATGATTTAATTAACTTCATATTTATTATATTATGTATTGATATCAGTAGACAAAATAAGATACAAATGTAATAATTAATTGTTTTTGTAATACCACCAATATTTTGGTAAAAAATCAAGGATTTAGTAGAAAATGAGCTTTGATAAGATTATAAACGCTATGGTCGGCCGACGGTGCTATGTATTGTTCCAGATATCATCTGAAAATGACAAATTCATGGGCAATTGTATTTTTGTCTAGTTTTTTGTCCTATTTTATAATTTATATTTGATTGCATGTGATGTAGGGGCAAATGGATTAATTCATGATAACCTATGAATTGTATTTTACAGCGTTACTTTTCTAATAAGTAAAATGGCGGCCATATTGATGACGTCATATCTAATTTGCATATTTGAATAATTTTTTCATAAAGATAATCATTTTAGCTTTCCAACGTTGTATCACACATGGTTCCTTCAGAAATAATGACAAAGTTATGAAGTCAGATATACCGAGGCATAATTTTCTCTATTTTACCATGAAAAGTCTAGCACTGAGCCAAAAGCTCTTCATTCTTGAATTAGCAGCAAAATGAAATATTTGCCTTTTTTTGTAGCATTGATAGGGTTAAACCAATCAGTGAAGTCTATATTAATTGTTTGTCCAGTAACGCCATTTTACGACATTGCATAATTTTAGCTGATTTGGGCTTCATTTCACTTTATTTGAAAGACTTTTAAAAATATAATAATGAGTCAGTATTTTTTCTTATAAATATTAATATTTGAATTTGAGGTCAGTCCGAAAATTTGATCAACTGATTGAAATCACATTTTAAAGAGGTGAAGAAGTGAATAATTACAGGAGCAAACGTGATCAATGGTTCGAGATCTCCCGCAAAGTAGTCGCTACGCTCCTACTTTGCGCTGCCTTTGGCAGAGGAGACCTCGAAAAAAATTGTATAGGACATTAATAAAGCTAGAAATGTAGATATTAAAGAAGCACATGGCAGCCATCTTGAAAAATGGCGACCTTTACTTGTTATTTTACGATTTTTGCTGTAACTCGAAAAGTAGTGGAGCGATTTTGTTCATATTTGGTATGTGAATACTATAAGCTTGGCACACTGTCTTATGACACTTTTGGTTGAAGGCGGCCATTTTGAAAAATGGCCACCATTTTAATGTATTTTACTTTAAGTCGAAAAGTAGTGGAGCGATTTTGTTCATATTTGGTATGTGAATACTATAAGCATGGCACACTGTCTAATGACACTTTTGGTAGAAGGTGGCCATTCTTGCTATATATAATGTAATTCAAAAAATTGCAAAGTATTTAAACTTAACTTAGGATATATCACATATACATAAGATAAATAAACTCTTTCAAAGTGTCATCTCAGATAAGGGCTGGCTATTTTTGTTGAGTAGGTGACACTTTAATCAATAAATAAATACTAAATGTTTTTCCAGGATAAAATAATAGAAGGCAGGCTGGCAGATGTTATGCTAGCTGCACACTATGCCAGTGAGGTGGCTATTAGAATGGTCAAACCAGGCAATGAAAACTACATGGTAACAGAGGCTATACAAAAAGTTGCAGAAGCATTCAAATGCAAACCAATAGAAGGTAAAATGATCAGATATACAAAGAATATATACCAGTTGCAAAAAGCTCTCTTTATTTTTGGCACATTGGCAAATTAAATGCTTTAAAAAACGTTTCACAATTGGCTTGGGAGTAGCCAGCCAGCCATGAGTCAAATGAGGCAACTGTTTCTCCAAAATAATACAGAAAATACTTAAGTATCAATTGAGTATTCGGATTTTTTTTCAATTGAACATGTGAAATTAATGTCTATTGCCTTGAAGCTCACATGGGTGACAATAATGTCTAGGATGCCCTAAGGCCTTTCACCATATGAGCCCAATACCCAATTTTTTGCCTTACCTGTTTTGAATCCTATGCTGTCTGTTAAAATGGTGAACTTTTACTTTTTGGTATGTTTCTATTAATTAGTATTAATTATTAGTATGATATCAGAAAGAGAGGCACCTCATGAAAAATATTTGAAGACTCCAGATGTTTGAAAAACCTTTTGAGCTACTGAGGTATTTTTTATTGTTTTTATTTCATAACTACTGGTTTTTATTTCCAGGAATGTTATCACATCAGCTCAGTAAACAAATAATAGACGGTGAAAAGGCCATCATTCTTAACCCATCAGAGGCCCATAGGTAAGTTCATGATTATTACAGACTTGCTTAGCTTATTCCACCGTGCCAAACCAGTGGCTGTAATCTGATATCTGCATGTACATCTGTATGTGCATGTTCATGATTGATATCTGTATGTATTAGTACAAAAAGAAAACAACAGATTTTCTTTTAGTTATCATTATCATGACTGGTTAATGGCCAATCAAGTTTCCTATTCTGGTATTGTATGCAGTTGAGAATTTTGATCCGTGCAAGTATTGCTATATTTTGTATGAACTTTTACTTTGTTACAGTATCAGAACTGTCACTTTGTGTTATTATATGAAGTCTCACTTACTATAATAATGTCTGAATTGATGTTTATGTTATGTAAACTTCCATTTAATGTAACATTTAAGGATTCATCGTGAGCACTACATATTTCAGGAAAGAACATGCCAAATGTGAGTTTGATGTTCATGAGGTGTATGCCCTGGACATGCTTATTAGTACTGGAGAAGGCAAAGGCAGGGAACGAGACGCTAAACCAACAGTTTATAAAAAGAGTGATTCAACATATTCACTAAAAATGAAAGCATCTAGGCGTAAGTGGAATTACTCTTTCACTCTCACTTTAAATTCCTGTATTTCATACTTACTTCTGACAACACCAAATGGGGAACAATATGAAAGGAATGGAAGATTTATAATCTTTGATAACTAAAAAAACAGTGGACAGATTTGGTTCAAATTTTATATGCTTTATACCTAGGGATGAAGGAGCTCTGTTAAAGAAGAAATTTTCAATATGGCCACTATTTATCAAAACATGTTTTGTTAGGTGGGAATTGCTGTTTCCTAGTTCAACAATATATAACGTACTAGATTGTGACATGCTGTCATCTTAATGCCTCGTACATTGTCTGTGACAGCAGTCGTCTGTTTTCCAACTAAACATGGACTCATTATCTTTTTTACTATTTCAGAATTCTTTAGTGAGATGGATAAGAAATTTTCAACAATGCCTTTCACAATAAGATCTTTTGAGGAGGAGAAAAAAGCCAAGATGGGAGTTGTAGAGTGCTTAAAGCATGACCTCGTAGAAGCATTCCCAGTCTTGTATGAACGAGATGGTAAGCACTCGTCTTTTTGTACAGTTCATGATTAATGATTGGCTGCAAAGACAAAGAGTTAATATAAACATGTTGTAAGCAAACCTCATATAGTACCATTCAAAAAGTTCTGAAAAGCAAGCCTAATGTCTTGTTTAAGGACCCTCTTCTTACTATTGAAAATGCATTCCTGCAAAACTATCCAGCTTGAATCCACTTGTTGAGATTTGATCAACTTGAGTTCCGAGAAAATGAGGATTTAAGCAAGGGTGCATTGATTTAACATGGGGTTGACCATTGACTTAGCATCGGGGTTCCATCATATATGTCACCATGGGGATAGATACAAAATCCTCATTTTCTTGGAAAAACTCTTAATTGATTGAATCTCAACAAGTAGATTCGTGTTGGAAAGAATTGCTAGAACAGTGCTAGTTATCACATCTTTGAAATTTAGGAGGAATACATGCAGTTTACTGTTTTTTTTATAGAAAATACAGCTCTCATTTGGACCAATCCATTTTGTCATTGTAATATCTCTTGTAATTTCTCCTCTCCCAACTTCGTTTTCGGCTTTAATTGGTACTTTTTACATAAACACACTTTGCTTGAATTGTAGGTGAAACAGTTGTTCAGATGAAGTTCACAGTACTCCTGATGCCAAATGGCCCAATGAAAATCACAGGACCCACATTTAACCCAGACCTCTACAAATCGGAATATAAAATAGAAGATGAAGAAATAAATGTAAGGAAATGTCTTCATTCGTTTTTATTATGTAGCTGAATCAAAATTTAAGGTGACCATTTGGATTTTCCATCCTAAAATCTTGTAGGATGAATTGATTACTGTTGGGCATTAAATCTATATTGGATCACCCAAGTTGTGGGAAAATGGTGTACATATTTGTGTGTCATTGTTTATTCAAAGCAGTTCTGCTTGAAACTGTATTATGTTCAATAATATCTTGCATACAGTATCAAGGATTCTATTTTGATGTTTTATTTCTGGAAGTCGTGTGGCAGTGCTCTCCCCACAAATCACTGTTCGCTACCTCAGTGTTTTTCATTTGCTCCTCAGTTCAATGTGTTTCATAAGATATTGTAATAAAATCACAAAATTGTGAAATGTTGCACGAGAAAAATAACATAATCAAATAAATATCAAGACTCGATTTTAGATCAGTCTTAAGAAACCTAATAAAGTCTATTCTATATGAAAAATCATGCTTCTTTTACTTCCAGAAACTCCTGGCCACCTCTGTGTCAAGAAAGGCTAACAAAAAGAAGAAGAAGAAGGCCGTAGAGCAGACTCAGGCAGCCACTACTGAATCTGAAGACCCACCTCAGCTTGTTGAGAAACCAGAGGCATAATCTAGCACAACTCCATCCTCCATGTTAAATGTTGCCACACATATACCAGCAGTTTACTATCAACTCTACATAATGCAATGTTAGAACATTGGAACACCTTCTTGGTTGGGTTTGAGGCGAGGATTTTGCCAAATGTTTTGGAGATTTTGAATCTTTAGAAATAGGAGAAATTAGTATCTCCAGAATTGAACATCGACTTGATACACATGATTTATATGAGTTATAATTATTTGGACTAATGAAGGACTTGATTTCATAAGAGGCAGTTATTTTAGAGAGTGCAGTGAAAGAATATTTCTGGATTTGAAACATATTGGATTAAATGAAATAACTGATGAATATGGCGCATGAGTATCGAAATTTATATTTATAGAAATTTTATAGTGATGCTAAATATTAGAAGTTCAGAAATGAAGTTTATCATTGAATATCATGCCAATTAAGTTGAAATTATGAGTGAATCTTACAAAAAACAGGTGAATAACTGGGTCATAGTAATCTACCTACAAAAGCCTCCAATTCTAGCCAAGTTTTCTCTTGAAAATCTTGTTGAACTTGCTACTACATAGTATATTTTGATATTCCAAAGTGACTTTGGAAAGTATTTTTATTGTTACTTTATTATTAAAATATTTGCCGATGTACTGGATAGGCGCTGGGTATGGTATTTCTTAATAAATTGCAAATATGACGAGAATTAACTACTCCTGTTCCATCATTTGGCATTTCTCAGTTCTTCTGAAGTTTTTCTAAAATCATACTAAATGATTCTATGAAGAATGTGTCAGCATACTGTACCTATGTGAAAACAAAAGACACTTAAGTCTTTAAGAGGGATGTTTCTGACTGAGCGCAAAATGCTGCAGGGGACATCTAGAAAGTTTTGCGCTAAATTTTACATGTGTGTATACGCTTACACATTCTATTCTCAAAATTCAATTGGTTCGTTGCGTACCATCACTACCTCTCTGACTATGTTAAATCAATTGTACAATTCCGGCTCAGGGCATGATCTCCAAAACCTGGAGAAATTAGTCCTGTCTGTAATAGTGAATCAACAACGGCAAATCTTAAATACAACATAAATGATAACATTTACAACTCATTTTACCATAGAAATTGGTGATTAATGTTGCATGTGTTTTAGGCAAAAATTTCCGAGGATTAACAATTTGTAATATGTCAAGATCGGTAATCACTATTACTACATGTTTTCAAAATGGCGGTTTTAAAATTTTCTAAAATCACATCAAATAATTTTATATTAATTTCTTGTTTACCTATATCATAATCATAGCTTGTTATTTCACTACAAGATAAAGAAATGTGTAAGCAATTAGATTTTATCGATTAAAACATCTCATTTACATGTGGTATTCGTAAACTAGCTGGTAAAAATTACGAATGCGGGGGGGTTGCAATGACGTCAAGGGAATTCTCAACGAACTGCATAGCAATGGTGTTAATAAACAATTTCTGATCGCAAAAGGTCAATTCATTCACTTATTTTTATCAGTTTCTCACGAATTACTTAATATTTTTCTTACGAATGAATTTTTACAACATAAGAAATAAACATTTTATAAAATATGATGAATTAAATCAGTAGCAAAAAAACTATGTACTAATTACAATTGTACATATTTCCTTCAAATACAAATGAAACTAATCTCCTGATATACTCCCAAGTTATGCCCCTGATGGTCTGACTGATGGAGGGCTTCCCTATATTCGTACCACTATATTGGGATCATAAAATAGTTTCTGGAGGGAATTCAAGTAAGCTTACATTGATTAAAGGAAAAATAAAAATGATTTACACTTGTGAAGTACATTTTTTAGGACAATAATTGATTTTATAGAGGTTATTTACTGGGGGGATTGAATCTGGATTACATACTAAAAGACTGAGGAAATAAGTATCCTACATCCATGGTGTGAAATGATTTTGAGATGCTTTAAGTATCATGATGATCAACTTAAAAAATGATAAAATACATGTTTATATATTCATGAAACATTTTGTTGCTGTTTGCTTACGTTTCTGTTTTAAAGTGCCATTACGGTGATTATGGGAGTTTTACATTCGTAGGCAAGCGCTCCATCTGGCCGTTCAGAACACAGTATAACAAATGCACCAAGTAGTCCACATAATGCGTCACTGCCTAAAACCCATAACTGGGTGGAATCATGTTTTTCCCACGAAATCTTATTTTGCCATGAATGAATGATTAGAATAAATTGTGAATCTGAATGACTATTATTTTCCTTACCAATATCCACTGAATCTATTTTAGTGAGAAAAACATAAAAATTACTGAAATGGCACTTTAAAAATAAACATTTTTGAAAACATAAACATGTAAGAAAGGGCATGACCAGATGAATGTGATTCCAAAACGGATGACCGGGTGAATACGATTTAGGGATGGTATGAACAAATTACATAAATACACACTACTATACCTAACACCTAGAAATGCATAAGATACTTTGTTTGTCTAATTGAATTGTTTAATATATTTTTGAAAGTACCTTAATTAACATCTAACTTTCAACCGATAAACCATTAATAAGAAACAGACAAATAAAAACAAATACATAATCATTACTAATAAGCCAAATGGGTTGCTCATGAACACCAAATGCAAGGTATAGTAGAGTGAAATAATAGATTTTTCAAAGGAAATTGCATGGACTGGAAAAAAGTCATAATTGACCATATCAACTGGAATGTTTTATGGAATAGCATTCACTGGTTTTAATTTCCCAAGAATTTTGAATTTTTCCATTTCCACCTGTTGTTGTCATTTGGCCTATTGTAACATTTCAGAGATTTTTATGGTATAGGCCTACTATAAACAGGTTATTTTTGGTTGGGATATAATATGGGTTTTATCCTTAGAATCTTGTAATGACACTCAATCACTATACTCGCTTCGTCAATATCACCTTGTCATTAGAAATGAAACTCGTTTTCAATCCTTCCCAGTAAATAATGTTTCGTATGTTTATTTATTTATTGATCTGGTCCCTTACAAAAAATAGTAATAGTGACAATGCAGTCATATCAAAATTGAGTGTGGGTATTGGACATACTATAATAAACATGAAGCAAAGGTGATTAATTCAAAATGTCAACTTCTAGAACAATCAGAATATTTTAGATCTCTCCAAATGCTGACCTCTTTGGATAATGATTTTATCAAGGCAATTGAACATTATTTTGCAGCCAAGAAGCTAGTTTCATACATAATGAGGTAAGCAGAATTGGCATTACATCAGGGATTTGCATTGTGGATTCATTTTTTTAAGTTCAATTCTCATAAATAGTTACATTATAAATACTGCCACAAGAATAAGTAAGTATATATAGCTTTAACAATAAGTTTTAGTTTATTACATAATATAACTTTTTACATAAAATTCAAACAATCACTAGTTTATCAAAACATTCATATTCATGTTTGTTTCAAGAGTAAAAACAGCAATACTGAAAAACAGTACCAGTATATGAATTATCTAAATAATTTGCAAATGGATCACAAATGTAATGTTTGGGTATGACTCTCACTTAGTAGTATACATTACAAGTTACAAAAATTTATTATCTTCATTATTAAAAGCTTCATTATTGAACACTGGACATGTTGGGCATACCCAGGCAAGAAGCCTGTATTTCCAACCAGGTGACAATGTATTTTCAACTGGGTCACATGTATTTCCAACTGGGTCACATGTATTTCCAACTGGGTCACATGTATTTCCAACTGAGTCACCATGTATTTCATTCTGGGTCACCATATGTTTCCAACTGGGTCACCAAGTATTTCCAACTGGGTCACCATGTATTTCAAACTGGGTCATCATGTATTTTCAACTGGGTCACATGTATTTCCAAATGGGTCACCATATGTTTCCAACTGGGTCACATGTATTTCCAACTGAGTCACCATGTATTTCAATCTGGGTCACCATATGTTTCCAACTGGGTCACCAAGTATTTCCAACTGGGTCACCATGTATTTCAATCTGGGTCATCATGTATTTCAATCTGAGTCACCATGTATTTCAATCTGGGTCACCATGTATTTCCAACAGGGTCACCAAGTATTTCCAACTGGGTCACCATGTATTTCAATCTGGGTCACCATGTATTTCCAACAGGGTCACCATGTATTTCAATCTGGGTCACCATGTATTTCAATCTGGGTCACCATGTATTTCAATCTGGGTCACCATATGTTTCCAACTGGGTCACCAAGTATTTCCAACTGGGTCACCATGTATTTCAATCTGGGTCATCATGTATTTCAATCTGAGTCACCATGTATTTCAATCTGGGTCACCATGTATTTCCAACAGGGTCACCAAGTATTTCCAACTGGGTCACCATGTATTTCAATCTGGGTCACCATGTATTTCCAACAGGGTCACCATGTATTTCAATCTGGGTCACCATGTATTTCAATCTGAATCACCATGTATTTCAATCTGGGTCACCATGTATTCCCAGCAGGGTCACCATGTATGATTTCAGTTTCCACATTCCCCTGTTCTACAAGTGCATTCACGGCTTCCCCCTGTTCCATATCTACATCTTTGGTACCCAGTTCTATACTAACAACCCCATCTTCATTCACAGATGTGAGTAAGACAGCATCATGTTCAGTGATATAATGTTCCTTCATTTCTTCCTCAGTCTTTAATAGAGCATTACAGCAACCACATGATATATACATCTGTTGGTCCAGTTGGGGTACATGGGTCCTCTGGTGCTCCTGTACTTCAGTCTTTGTAATGGCAGTGAACTCACAAAGAGAGCATTTATAGCAAGGTATGTCACTGTGAGAATTCATATGCTTCATCCAGGAATGACGTTTAATACCAGACCAACTACACAGCTCACATTGAAATGGTCTCTCATCTGAAAGAACATGTGTAAACCATCAGTTCAAATGGGACGTAACCACCAACAATGATAATGTGTTAGTGTGTGTGGTTGAAGGGTTTATCTTTATTCTAGGCATGTGCAGTATTTGTAATCACCTAAGAATATTGACCTGACAATACCTGTGTTGGCAGAGTGAGCCACAAATGAGTCATACTGATGTGTTGAGGTTAAGGAAATTAGAAAAGTTGGTGACTTGCCATATATAATACATTTTTCTCTATTTTTATAAATATATACAGCCAGTAGCTGGAGAAGTAAAACATGCATAAAATGGCAATAATTTCCTATTAATTCTTGGTTCACAGACGAGAAAAGTTCACAATGCTGTTCAAAATAAACTTGATGACACTAGTGTCATATTGTTTTAACAATACTAGTATACCAAACTAAACAGAGGGGAAAGGCAAATTTAAAGCAGGTACGTTCAAAAGATTTGTAGAAAATTGATTAAAATGTTCAAATGATTATAAATATGTAATTCAAGATATACCAGATATACCTTAAGGACTTTCTCCGATCTGGCAAAGCCATCAAACTTCGATTATTTTGGTACATAATTATTAAACAAGGTATGACATGTATGATATTATTTCAATTTTTGTTTTAATACTTGCCATGGTGAATAGTAACTTCTATACCTGAATGCGTCATAAGATGACGTGTCAGCTGTTGTTTTTGATATGACGTAAAGCTGCACTGGTCACATGCAAATTTCTTGATTTGATGATGTACACGTTCAACATGTTGTCTCATGTTGCGTGGGGTGGACAGTGTCTTACCACAGTGGATGCACACTGAGGGACCAGCATTATGGATGTGGGTCCTGAAACAAAAGCATCGAGGCTCTTAAAACGAATGCAAAAGATTTTTCTTAGGCTCTGTTAATATAGTTCACAAATGAAATATAGTTTTCTTTTGATTCTCTTTTCTAATCTCATTGCTGTTTTGCTTTCATAATAAACTGTCCAAAATTATCAACAAACATGACAAACAGAAAGAGTGACATCCCTCTTTCTTTGCTAATTCCTTGAAATATAAAAATCCAGTAATAAAGTTGACGGATCATATAAATAGGTGAAATCATTGAATAGACGGACAGTCCCTCCTTCACCAAAACATACGAAAAACTTTGAGCCTGTTGATGTCAATCCCAAAATATAAGGACCTCAGTATCTAGAGAAAACTCATAAAGTGCTAAATCTTACTTGTGATGTCTAAGATGTAGCTTTGTTGTGTACTTCTCATTACACAGAGAGCAGCGTAACAGCCCCTCTCCATTGTGTACCAGCTCAATGTGTTCCTTCAGGGGCTTATGGGATTGGAATGCCTCCCCACAATGTTGACACATAGGCTTAGACTTGTGAACATTGGTAATATGTTGCTGCAAGTTAAACCTCACTTGGAACTTAGCTCCACATGTCTCACAAACATAAGGATCATCCTTACTTCTATGAAGATCTTGATGATATTTATAATTTTGAGGATTCTTTGCTTCAAAACCACATATCTTACATTTTAATTTTCCAATTTCATGAGCATATAAATGTTGCCCTAGAGTGTTTTGCATGTTAGTAGCTGCTTTAAAGGTTCTGCCACATATTAAACATTGATATTCATCTATACCTTCATCATTTTTTATTAGTTTGTATTTGTCTGGAAACCTTTCCAGATAATATTTCTGTTGCTTCTCCAATCGTGTCATATACTTTTTAGTTTTAGTTTGTTTACTTTGAGATCTGACCAAAATTCCAGTTATTTTCACATGTTTAGCTTTACTCTGAGGTAAAATACAAGAGTCCTTATTAGGTGAGGAATTTTGGTTTTTAGAATCATCAGTTTGATCTGCAACTGATGAGTCAATGTCACTAACATCATCTCTTTTTTCAGTTTGAACATTTTCATTTAATTCTGTAGACATGCTGTTTTTATCACTAACAGCAGGTATGTCCATTACATCCTCATTATCCACAGGAAAATTTTCATGAGCATCATTTGTTGCTGCATTTTTTGTATCATTCTGTGTTACGCTCTCATCAATGTTACTACCTTGCTTCTCTATTGATTCACCTACTGAAGATACTGTCATCATTGTTTCATCAGTTTCAAGTTTATCTGACTCCTTTGGTTCAACTGGATGTGCTAAATCTAACGTGTCTGTAGCTTCAGCAATGAATTCAGAATCTGTATCCATATAAACTTGTTTAACAGTTGTGTTACTATTCTGTGATTCGTTATTGTCATCGTCATTGTGACAATGACTACTGGGATCTCCAAACCTCTTGTGGCACTTGTGCTGAGCGAGGTCTTCTTCCAAAAGGAAACCTCCTTTGCAGAACAAACATATATTGATGCATAATGAGAAGTTACCTTCCTCCTCTGAAAAACAAGTAACTTTATATTATTTCACAAAGAAACATACAACATGGTAAATATGTAGTGTATGTATAGACTGCGCATGTAATATACTTCACTCATTCAAGTTTTCAAACTAAAGTTATTTGGGTGTTTTTCATTGAATTAAAAATGATTCGACTTATATGTAAAGAATTATTATACCACCATTTACATTTAGATATACATGTACAGTAAATCTAAACTACCTGATGGCCAGTTGAACAGTTTCTTAGGGTTTGGCAGGAAGTCTGCAATAATATTTCCAAGTTGTATGCCTTCATCATCTGCAGAATGATTCCCTTGGGTAACATCAGCACCATCAGTCGATAGTGACCTTGTGAAAGCAGCAACAGTGTTTTTCCTGGAGTTAGTTAGGGGTTTAATTTGCGGTGGACTTAGGTTCCGATCTTCTGTTTGTTTATCTGCTTCGTTATCTAACAGTGCTGATTCATCACTTTGTATAAGTTTATATGTAGGTTTTCGTTTCCTCTTTGGTCTATTCATGTTTATTTTATATATTGATCCTGATCCTAAATATAGTTCTATCTCCTCAAAGACAATCGTCTGAAATGAAATACAGTAAATATCATGCTTTTGGAAACATATAAATTCCTGCCTGTTCAGCAGTGAACAGCTCCCATAAAATATTCTCAGGCATGTCGGAAATTATCATAGATTTTGTTTATTGTGAGCCATTGCATTAGTTTTAGAGGGTGAACTGACTGTTCAGAGTTTAAATCTCATAAGATACTCTTATAGTTTTTCAACCTCATTAATATTATAATAAGTAAATATTCAAAGCATTTCAGTAGGGGATGTAGGTTCGAACCTAAATCGAACCTAAAAATGAGTCCCATAGTTAGTTGATTACATCAACAAACCTACAAAAAGTAGGTCCACTTTAGGTTCGACCTAATACTACCTAAAACACTTATAAAAATTCAAAACTTCTAAATTTTACTCACTTCGAGAACCATGTTAGATTGAAACTTATGGCTCTCCAACGGAGAAATGGACAGCTGAATGATGGTGACCTTTGAAACACGAACTAAGGTGATCAGCGGCTTACTTTTGTTCTCCATACATTATCATCCTTCCGTGCAAGTATTGGAGCGCTGGAGTACTTCCTTTTCGATCAAGACTTGTAATTTTTAGTCGAGTGAATGTTTTTTCTGTCAAATTCCAATATGGCGTTTTCTGCTCGGACATTTCCGTAAATCTACGGAGGTTGTCCGGACCTGACTCATTCTCAAAATTCATTTCGTTTATTGCGTATCTCACTCCTAGAAAACCACCATATTGGAAATGGGTCGAAAAAACATTCACTGGATTAACAATTTACAAGTCTTGATCGAAAAAAAAGTATTTCAGCGCTCCAATACTTGCACGGATGGATGATACTGATGTAAGACACAGTTAGAGACCAAAAGTAAGCCGCTGATCTCATTATTCATGTTTTAAAGGTCACTATTATTCAGCTGTCCAGTGCGCAGTTACCCCCATAAATGTGGAGTTATTTTGAGTTTTTAGATATTTCGGACATTTGTTTCTCAAAAAGTAACAAATGTCCTAAATATTAAAAATCCTCAAAATAACCTCACATTTATGGGGGTAGTGCGCAGTGGGAAAGCTATTATATCAAAATCCCCATAGCTTTCGCAGGAAGTAATCTAGATTCACTTCTAGTACGAACCTGAGGTACGAACCTAACGCAAACCTGAAAAACTTGAAATATGATAATGCGTCACAAATGAAAGATCTTACCATGAATAGCATTTGATACATGTATATGACTATATTGCTTTGGCTTGGCATTCGAGAATCATAATCATGAGAATTGAGATTTGAGTTGAAATTTTTTGATTTGATTTTACCTTATATCAATTATTAAATCAACCAACCATCATTCTACAACTCGTCTACTACATATACAGTAAATAAAAAAAATCAAGAATGAATGATTTCTTTGTTTACTTACCAGTACTATCACATGATATCAGTTAACTAAAAAAAAAACAATCCAATTTTGAAAAATTGAAAACCGGAACCGGAAGTGTGCTATCTGGTAGACTATTTTAAAAATTTCAAATAATTTTTGTTTATTTTAGGTTTTTGTTTCTCCACTTGAGACTGAGATTGATACTTTTATTTAGTAATCGATGGTAAGTCAACATTCTCATGAATAGGATGATATTTTTAAATGAGCAAATAATTGTTATATCGAGACCTGAGTGTATTTTCTAATTTTAGGTTCAGCTGGAAAGTAACATTTTGGTAAAAAATTGCTATACCTGCACATGTTATTTTCTGGTACATAATTAAGTATGAAGGCATGTGTGTATTTCCTTGCTTTTTTCAGGAAAGTATCATTACACTGTCTACTTTTAGTAAACCTGGAAACAGGTCAATGGTAGCTCTAGTTCAACGTCGTTAAACTCAATAACGGCGTTCTTTATTATTAGGAATTTTCTTGGGGCCATTATTGAGTTTAACCTCCTTACTATTCTTTCCTTTGATGCAAGTTCTGAATCCATCGAAACCATTTTTCCGCGATAATGTGCAACTGATACTTGACAATAATATAAAAACATGTAACATCAAGCGATTTAACACAATATTATTGTGTTAAATGTTCATTTATACGAGTAAAATGAGGCTACACTTACCAATCTCTAAAGTGACATTTCCGCATGTCCCTCATTGTGTCTGTTCGTCTGAGTGTCCCGGATCGTAAAATTAAACTACCAGCGAAACGAAATTGTTGTCAAATAGATTGATAATTATTATCGCGATTACTCGGGATAAAAAGATCAATTTTGAGGATAACAGGTATCTTTGATTAATTTATATAGCGTGTATATACACGCAAAATAGTTATTAATTGCAAACCAACTGTTCGTTAATGCAGTGCCGTGATGACGGTTAATTCCTGAAACGATTTGCAATTTCGATGTTACCGAAACTGACCGACATTTTCGTCATATTCCAAACCTGTCTCCAATATTTTCGTAATTATGCATCAATAGGGTCTAAGGGGGATACGGGACGGCGTGTATGTGTTTATAAGGTATGTATGCATGCTTGAATCACATTCTTTGTGTAATATTGCCATGTTTTCACGGTTCAATTAGCTCCGCTTGTCGAAACCTGCTGAACGAATAAATTAACGCATCAAAGGCAAAATGGTCATGGAGGTTAGACCTAGCCGGGCCATAACACATGTCAGATAAGAAACGAGGCCCGGGCTAGGTCTAATGTTGTTGGACTATGGTAGCTCCTGTGTTGTCTGGAAACTTTGAAAGAAAATTTGGAAAAACAGGAAGTGTGAAATATCAGAATTCCCTGGAGTTCCCTTTGAACGCCTACCAGATATTCTAAAAGAAGACAATGTAATGATACTTTCCTGAAAAAAGCAAGGAAATTGATACATGCCTTCATACTTTATTTTGTACCAGAAAATAACATGTGCAGGTATAGCAATTTTTACCAAAATGTTACTTTCCAGCTGTACCTTAACCAATGGCAATGGCAAAAAACTTTTTACTCAAAATACTGGGAAATGAAATTCCATCATTCAAAATGCTATATACTCGAGCTCGTTCATTCTTAAAGGTTGTATATAACTATCAAAGTGTTTTTGACACCTTGGCAAAGACTTAAGGTTCAGCTGGAAAGTAACATTTTGGTAAAAAATTGCTATACCTGCACATGTTATTTTCTGGTACAGAATTAAGTATGAAGTCATGTGTGTATTTCCTTGCTTTTTTCAGGAAAGTATCATTACACTGTTTACTTTTATAATATCTGGAAACAGGTCAATGGTAGCTCCTGTGTTGTCTGGAAATTTTGAAAGAAAATTTCGAAAAATAGAAAGTGTGAAATATCAGAATTTCCTGGAGTTTCCATTGAACCCCTACTAGATATTCTAAAAGAAGACAATGTAATGATACTTTCCTGAAAAAAGCAAGGAAATTGACACATGCCTTCATACTTTATTTTGTACCAGAAAATAACATGTGCAGGTATAGCAATTTTTTACCAAAATGTTACTTTCCAGCTGTACCTTAATTCAGCATGTTGCTGTGTATTTATAATACTTTTCATTACTTAAATATTTAGAGTGGATATTCATCTTTCATTCCATATGAAGAAAATGTAAATTTATAAAATATTGACGGAGTTGGGAGGGTTCTCCAAATATATCGTTGTTACGGAAATGACGTCACATTAAATTGGATTTCCACAAGAGCGGGCTATGAGTATTACGTCATCAATATACTTTCACTTTTGTGTTAGAGCACTTTGACATTCAATTGGAAATTTAAAGTGCATTTTTTAGATTCAGTTAATTAAAAGGAATCAAATTGATGATTATCCTCAAAAAGTCGTTTTTAAGAGCCCATGAGTTTTCTAAGGCCTAGATAGTTATACACATCCTTTAATTAATTTTTCAGCAGTGCACACAGCAGTCCTTTGAATCATGTCTGAACGTAGGCCATTCAAAGTCTGGAATGCTGAACGGACAATAAAGAAATCTGTAACTGCAACTAACCTAGACAACTTAAAACAAAAAGGTGAGACCTTCAGGTGGAAACCAAATCTTTGAAACAATATTTGAAAAGATATGCTTATCAAATAGAGGATATGAGTGGCAAAAATGATCTGTATCTATAAAGTGATTGAATACTATGGTGATTGTTTATAATATTTTATTTAAAAATTGTTACACTCATGCTTTGTTTCAGCCTGTGATAAACTAGACATTGATGGAAACGTAAGGGTTGTATTGGAGGCTGATGGTACAGAAGTTGATGATGATGATTATTTTAGCTTTGTTGAAGCAAATTCAACACTTATGCTCTTGAAGGATGGAGAGAGTTGGAAACCTGAAGGTATGGAGGGTAGGTTCTTTGCTATGGCAAGTTGTAGACTTAGTCCTTTCACAGTATGAAATATATTTGAAATAGTTATGAGTTAGGGCATGCCCATGGTTAGGGTATAGTTTATGCCTTCATCTTGCGTGAAACATTGAAAGTTTTGTTTGTTGGGATTTGCACTTATTACATACGTAGCACAAATATACATGGCTTATTTCAGCTCGGGGCCAAGATGTTACTGACTTCATGGTAACAGATGGTGTTGAATCTGATGGTGTAGGGACAGGGGCACTGCTGAAAGTACAGAGTCTAGCTGATACTTTAAGATCAGATATCTCAAGGATTATCACATTCTCCAGTGAAGAGATGCAGGTATGTATTGTATTGTACAGTATTGTATTGTATTGTATTGTATCCTTTATTACCATATTATTTCCATGTGAGTACATTACAATTTTTGGTAAAAAAATATTTACATGTGCATCAAAAGATTGTGTTATGATAATATAATGATTATATTATATTTAATACTATTATGATAATAGTATGATAATATTTTGTTTGTTATACAGTCAAATTTTATTACAGCATCATTTTGTTAAGTCTTGTTATAAAGAATTTATGGAAAATTCCAAGTAAAAATGTTAAGTACTTTCATTTGCTATTATTTCACCCTTTTAAATAAGTAGAACATCTTAAGATGGCCCAATATATCCATCCGACAATGAGTACTTCCTATTATCCTTTTCAATTTTTAAAATGTTGGTATTCAACTTACGAGGTGTGGTCAATTTGTTGGTGTGTATACGAATCAGAGTTAGATATTGAACAACTTGAAAGACAGAATCATTAAATTTTTCATTTGTTTTATTTTATTTTACTTGTGTAGGATAGGTAAATGAGGGATTCTTTTTGCTATATCACCAAAGATGTAATGCTTTCTGAACACAAAGTATCCATTATGTAATACCTTTTGAATACAGATACAGCAAAACCTGCCTTAATTAACACCTCTCTCTTGTGAACACTTTTAATAAACACCACTTTAAGAAACATTGACTCCTGTATTGAATCTTTTCTTTGGACTGAACACCTACCTACAGTGAACACTTTTTTGTGACTTCATAGGTGTTCACTTTATTCAGGTGATACTGTTGATGATATATTCCACCATATTCTTCCAGGCTATAATAGACACTCCTAGACAACACTTGGCAGGGTTATTGAATGACCCTAATATGGCCAAAGCAGTACAGGAGACCTGCCAGGAACATCTTGACAACAGGGAGCAGACCAAGGAAGCCATGGATCTTCTACAACTCTATCATAAAGCCAAACAACATAAACTGCAGCATAATAATGACAATTCAGCAGCTAAAAAGCCTAAATTAGACACTTCATAGACCTTTTGTTGAATGATCTTGTCAGTAAAATCAATTTGCATAAGGGATTTTGTCTTTTAATACAGTTTATGAAACAATCTAATAGGCTAAACTCAATCCCTTCCGTTAATTACCTCATGTATATACGAGGGTGGTTTATCAAATTCATATTCTGTCATTTTGACTCATTGTAGAGTACCTTTATCAGTTGATCAGCTGGTTATAGTGCTAGAATACTCGAAGTGAAATATGTACATACATAATTTAATCATAATTATAGGAATATATTTTTAATAAGCATTTTTGCTTTATTTAGACATTTGATAAAAATTATGAATATTGGATATCAAGTTAAAGTTTGAGTAGATGTTTCACTTTTACTGTAGATTGTAGCTTTTGTGTGTTGTTTTCTGTGACTATTTGAAAGTATGTTAATTAGTGTGTAGAGGCATCATGTAGCAACATCAAACTGTCTTTTTATTATAGACTGAAGTATAAATGGGGATGTGTTAGTTTTGGTATCATCAAACCTCACAAATCATCAGTTAAGAAATAAATTTTACAGTTAAAAGAATGCAACCATACGAAAACTTCTGAACATTTGGAAACCAAGTAAGTTTATAATGTATAATTTTCAGTGCCTGGATATTGTCAGTTGAGCTTTTTTGTGGTGCTTTGAATTATCAGCATGCAAATACCACTGGGCCTGGCACATAAGAATTAGACTGGCACATAAGAATTAGACTGAGTTTTGTTCAAAAAACATTCACTAGGTATGTATTACTGCTGGCAGTGGATTGATATCAATGAAGACGAGTCAGACAATTGAGGTACAACATAGATAGTTATACAATATTGCAATATTTATTGTTCATTTGTAGAATTTTTATTGTTCATTTTGTAGCTATAAATATATAATATTTACACACCATATTTTTTATTTTTATGTGTATTACTTACAGGCTGATACAGAAAAATGTGCCACTCTAAGTCCTGTTATACAGCTATGCTATTTACTGCATTTTGATAAGCCAATAAAATTAATTTTCAATATTCAATAGTATGCAAAAATCCTTTGTTATATTCATATTGAGTTAAGTGAAATATCTGAATCTGATTGCTGTCAGCATTCCATTTAAATCACAGCAAAGTAATCTTCATGGCATTACTCTTGGCATTTTCAGAAAGCACCCATGTGCTACATCCATGTAAAATGGCAGGTAAAATCATCGAACTATAAATTGTAAAAAAGAGAATTTGAAAATGAACAAATTAACAAACACAATTTTTGATGCAAAAGAATTATGTATTTTCAGCCAAAATGTTTATTACAGAAAGCATAAGATAGAGGATAGATATTATGAAGTGTTTACAAGACAAAAATATTCATGAAACAGTTTTAATAGTACAACAATATAGTACACATATATATAGTACAATACATACAGTACTCAACATTAAAGACCTCAAATCCAAACACTTTTGTTGAAAGTTATTTTATGAAAAGAAGATATTTTTCTTATTTTTATTGCATAAAAGATATCTTGAGTTTCATTAAAAATAGAATGGCTTACAAAATCTAATTTTGAAGATATCATATTTTGAGATTTTACCTGGGATATGTAGATTAGACTAAATAATATTACAGATAATACAAGAGAATGTCATGGGGCTATGTGGCAAATATACATTGTACTCATATTGTGATACCATTTTGCCCTTAGGGCTTCAAGGAATACCAGTTTTGATATTCAGACATTTTTTGGTTTTTCGATCTGAAATACTAGTAGAAAATTGTTTGTTGGTAATATTGATGAGTATAATAGTCAAAGAAATAAGAAAAGTTTGACATTTTGTAATTAAATCCAAAGATTTACATGAATGTAACATTTTCAAGTAAAATTCACGTCCTGAAGAGTAACATAATGGAATAGGAAAGGGTGATTTACAGTATTTTAGCGTAAAATGAAATGTAAAACTCTTTCACAGAGTCTATGTGACATTTTAAACGTACATCTACCACTCCTGGTACATATGTATTTGTCAAAGGCTTAAAGATAAATTGCTGTAATGAATGATCTCTATGACAACAGAGAAAATACAGTTTAAATGTTACCACAATCACAAATATAATGAAATATGAACAGAAAACATGCCTTTATGAACACCTCTCTCTAGTGAACACCATTTCTCGGAACATGCCTCACTGAATTTTGTTTTATCATCAATGTTATTGACAATCTTTTTCAATTTGATTTATTGCATAGAAAACTTAACATAATTATTCCATAAAAACACCCTCTGTAATGAACCCCTAAATACTACAGAGAACACTTTTCTGCCTATTAAGGTGTTCACTACATCCAGGTTTTACTGTCATCATATAATTGGCAATTCTTTTGACACTTTGGATTCATTGTCAAAAGTTCATTTAAAGGTACAGCGAAGACCACCAGTTGGGAATTGTCCTTTTCCAAACAAATTTCATAATTATATTTTTTGCTAACAACTATTTTCTAAAAAGCCAAACATTTCTGAACAATCCTATCTGATTTTTATCTGGCAATAATTTTAAAGAATTTTGACTTTATCTTATTAATCTTTAATAACCCCAGTCTATATTTGATCAATTATTTACCAGAAGAACAAAAGGACAAAATTGCATGCTTTTGGAAAAGATTGCTTTCACCACTTTTTCTCTATCCTCTGCTGCCACTTTTATCTATAGCAGTGTCATTTTCTCAATAGCTTCAGTTAGTAGTATGAATATCCATAGTCCCAGTCCAATTCATCAGAATTTTCTGGGTGAGAGAGGCTGTCATTGTTAGTACCATGACATTCAAGTGGGCCCACGCTTATGTTACCTTTCTCAGGTAGTTCCCCTGCAGATTAGATACAATAACACAGTTAGTTTGTAAAGATTATAGTACATAATTAACATCTTAAAATATGGCTTAAGTTGATGAATTCTATGGTCTACAATTGGCCTGAATGTAGGATTGTATTTTTATAACATTGTTAAAACGAACTTCTCAATAGGCTGACTGTAAATGATAGTAAATCATGGAATCAAGATTTTTGTTGTATCATTCATATTATTCATTGTTCATTTATGCTACCAGTAACTCCTGGTTTCAATCAATCAATGTATGTAGCCTTTGTGGCATTCATGTTTACGATGCAGTAGATACATTTATGTATACAATATACATGATGATATAGGCTCTCCGACGCAACCTTTGTTGTATTCATGTTTGCAATATAGGTTGATCAACACAGCATTTGTGACATTCATGTTTACGATGCAGTAGTGACATTCACATATACAATATAGGCTCTTCAATGCAATTTTAGTGGTATTCATGTTTACAATATAGGCTGTTCAACAAAGCATTTGTGACATTCATGGTTACAATGCAATACAATACAATATAGGCCTTAAGACATTCTAGGGCCAACAAGAGGTATCACAAAGAAGCCTCTTACTAAACATTACAAAGGAGGAGGGAAAGTATGGCAACAGATTTCGGACAGTCATATGTCACTTATTCCTTTAAAGGGGTTATCTGTGTCTTCAAAATCAAAATTATTTTATGATCTCTACGAGTGCTTTTCCTAGAGATAATGCATTGGCGTAACATATGCACCTGTTTAAATCCTCAGAAAATAGCCAAAATCCAACACATGAATGTACTAAAATCTGCTGCGATACTTTCCCTCCTCCTTTGCATATCACTGGCAGATCCAGCCCCCCCCCTAAGGTGGGCCCATAAATTTTTTAGGGCCATAATATTTTGTAGGGCCTCCAAAATGGGTCTTTCTGGGCATAACTTGGCCTATTTGGGCATTTTTAGGCCAAATAATCAAAACAAAAAATGGGCCTTAAGTTTTCAAAATTTGGGCCCAATTTAAAAAAATTTAAGGCCCATTTTGGCACAAGATTTTTGCTCAAGCGTGGAAATTGTTTTCCTTTCCTGACTTGAAATGTGAGCCCCTCTTGACCTTGTTAGCTTCTGGATCCGCCAGTGCTTATGTTAGTTCATTGACTTACCCTGGTCATAAAGCACAAAGAATCAATTTCCATATGGGGTATTCTATAACTTTTAAGTTGTGCTATTCAAAACTATTTCAGATACTTTTGAAAAAACATCACTATCTAAGAAATATGATTGCAAATACTAATTAATTAGTAAGTTTTCTCTAGTAGAATAGCTATATACTGTACATTTACATCTATCAGTATTCTCCCCAGAATCTTTTTTCTCAAGTAGGTGCAAAATTATCATTTTCACAATTCTTACAAATGGTATGTCAATTTTCCTAAGCCCATTTTCAAAATCTCAAGTGGGGGCAGTACCCACTACCTTCAATGCTGGAGAAATCACTGGATAGTGGATATGGTGTCCAAATATTTACATTTGTGGAGAATACTAAATTAATTTAATTTTGTTTCATTTTTAAACATTTGCTTTGCTCCAAAACAAAATTGGTAAAATGTTGATTTTGCATTTACATGATTTCAAAGCAATATTCCTAAATACAAGCAAAAGTTACAAAGTAATTTATCCCAAACAAAAATTATTCAATTCAAATTTCCACAATTGTTGATATTTGTACACTCAAACACAAAGAACATTAGAACACAAAGCACACAAACACATATCTGATCCAACAGTACAATATTAACTAGCTAGAAAGCGATACCAATGATATGGGAGAACGTCTACATGAACGACTACAAATCACTACTCTAGGAAATGCAAAGGTTTAATGATAAAAACATGTACCTGATTTAAAAGTAATAGTACGGGTTCCTAAATTGAATGAAAAATCACAATGAGACACAAAGTATAAAGGTTACATAAGATTAATATTTTGAGCATAAAGGCCTCTGGAGATACCAAGGTAATATTTCTTGGTCCTATTCTCTAAATATAAATCCAAAGGGAATAAATGTACCCAATGTTAACACTTCCGAAACACTTCAAATTATCTGCTGAAGATTTGATATCCAAATTATGTTCCCAGGTGACGATAATACCTTATACATAAGGGGATGGCCTTCATGCTCCATGATGTCATTTTGCTAAAGGCCCACCATGTATACTTCATAACATTAAAATACAAACTATTTGATTACTAAAATAATGTATGTCATAGATAATACTAATTTTAATTTTAACAATATGGTAAGCCACATAGAATGAGTTAATGCGGACCTTTTGCATGTACTGACACAATGCACAAGGCCTACAGACTAAAAATGCAACATGGGTTTAAAACTACTTTGACACTCAAAATTAAAATTTCATGTCTATTCTAAATTATCAATATAAAAGGATGTCCAAATATTTCTCACAACAGCCAGCAAAAATTCAATAAACACTGCATGTTATCTTCTGCACTGTGAAAACAATGGAATAAACAAAAGATACGAACATACACCAAAACTTATCTCATGCACTGCAAATGCTATAGAATAAGCAAAACATCTGAACAGAAATCCTAGATTATTTACTGTACGGCAAATGCTACAGAATAAGCAAAACATCCAAACAGAAATCCTAGATTATTTACTGTACAGCAAATGCTACAGAATAAGCAAAACATCCAAACTGAAATCCTAGATTATTTACTGTACGGCAAATGCTACAGAATAAGCAAAACATCAAAATTGAAATCCTAGATTATTTACTGAACTGCAAATGCTACAGAATAAGCAAAACATCCAAACCAAAATCCTAGATTATTTACTGTACGGCAAATGCTACAGAATAAGCAAAACATCCAAACTGAAATCCTAGATTATTTACTGTACAGCAAATGCTAAAGAATAAGCAAAACATCCAAACTGAAATCCTAGATAATTTACTGTACGGCAAATGCTACAGAATAAGCAAAACATCCAAACTGAAATCCTAGATTATTTACTGTTCGGCAAATGCTACAGAATAAGCAAAACATCCAAACTGAAATCCTAGATTATTTACTGTACGGCAAATGCTACAGAATAAGCAAAACATCCAAACTGAAATCCTAGATTATTTACTGTACTGCAAATGCTACAGAATAAGCAAAACATCCAAACAGATACCATAGATTATCTATTGTACTGCAAATGCTACAGAATAAGCAAAACATCCAAACAGATACCATAGATTATTTACTGTACTGCAAATGCTACAGAATAAGCAAAACATCCAAACTGAAATCCTAGATTATTTACTGTACGGCAAATGCTACAGAATAAGCAAAACATCCAAACTGAAATCCTAGATTATTTACTGTACGGCAAATGCTACAGAATAAGCAAAACATCCAAACAGATATTTATTGTACAGCAAATGCTAAAGAATAAGCAAAACATCCAAACTGAAATCCTAGATTATTTACTGTTCGGCAAATGCTACAGAATAAGCAAAACATCCAAACTGAAATCCTAGATTATTTACTGTACGGCAAATGCTACAGAATAAGCAAAACATCCAAACTGAAATCCTAGATTATTTACTGTACGGCAAATGCTACAGAATAAGCAAAACATCCAAACAGATACCATAGATTATTTACTGTACTGCAAATGCTACAGAATAAGCAAAACATCCAAACTGAAATCCTAGATTATTTACTGTACGGCAAATGCTACAGAATAAGCAAAACATCCAAACTGAAATCCTAGATTATTTACTGTTCGGCAAATGCTACAGAATAAGCAAAACATCCAAACTGAAATCCTAGATTATTTACTGTACGGCAAATGCTACAGAATAAGCAAAACATCCAAACTGAAATCCTAGATTATTTACTGTACTGCAAATGCTAAAGAATAAGCAAAACATCCAAACAGATACCATAGATTATCTATTGTACTGCAAATGCTACAGAATAAGCAAAACATCCAAACAGATACCATAGATTATTTACTGTACTGCAAATGCTACAGAATAAGCAAAACATCCAAACTGAAATCCTAGATGATCTACTGTACGGTAAATGCTACAGAATAAGCAAAACATCCAAACTGAAATCCTAGATTATTTACTGTACGGCAAATGCTACAGAATAAGCAAAACATCAAAATTGAAATCCTAGATTATTTACTGAACTGCAAATGCTACAGAATAAGCAAAACATCCAAACCAAAATCCAAGATTATTTACTGTACGGCAAATGCTACAGAATAAGCAAAACATCCAAACTGAAATCCTAGATTATTTACTGTACAGCAAATGCTAAAGAATAAGCAAAACATCCAAACTGAAATCCTAGATTATTTACTGTACGGCAAATGCTACAGAATAAGCAAAACATCCAAACTGAAATCCTAGATTATTTACTGTACGGCAAATGCTACAGAATAAGCAAAACATCAAAATTGAAATCCTAGATTATTTACTGTACGGCAAATGCTACAGAATAAGCAAAACATCCAAACTGAAATCCTAGATTATTTACTGTTCCGCAAATGCTACAGAATAAGAAAACATCCAAACTGAAATCCTAGATTATTTACTGTACAGCAAATGCTAAAGAATAAGCAAAACATCCAAACTGAAATCCTAGATTATTTACTGTACGGCAAATGCTACAGAATAAGCAAAACATCCAAACTGAAATCCTAGATTATTTACTGTTCGGCAAATGCTACAGAATAAGCAAAACATCCAAACTGAAATCCTAGATTATTTACTGTACGGCAAATGCTACAGAATAAGCAAAACATCCAAACTGAAATCCTAGATTATTTACTGTACTGCAAATGCTACAGAATAAGCAAAACATCCAAACAGATACCATAGATTATCTATTGTACTGCAAATGCTACAGAATAAGCAAAACATCCAAACAGATACCATAGATTATTTACTGTACTGCAAATGCTACAGAATAAGCAAAACATCCAAACTGAAATCCTAGATGATCTACTGTACGGCAAATGCTACAGAATAAGCAAAACATCCAAACTGAAATCCTAGATTATTTACTGTACTGCAAATATGCTACAGAATAAGCAAAACATCCAAACTGAAATCCTAGATTATTTACTGTACTGCAAATGCTACAGAATAAGCAAAACATCCAAACTGAAATCCTAGATGATCTACTGTACGGCAAATGCTACAGAATAAGCAAAACATCCAAACTGAAATCCTAGATTATTTACTGTACTGCAAATATGCTACAGAATAAGCAAAACATCCAAACTGAAATCCTAGATTATTTACTGTACGGCAAAACATCCAAAATGAAATCATAGATTATTTACTGTACTGCAAATGCTATAGAATACGCAAAACATCCAAACCAAAATCCTAGATTATTTACTGTTCGGCAAATGCTACAGAATAAGCAAAACATCCAAACAGATACCATAGATTATTTATTGTACAGCAAATGCTAAAGAATAAGCAAAACATCCAAACTGAAATCCTAGATTATTAACTGTACGGCAAATGCTAGAGAATAAGCAAAACATCCAAACTGAAATCCTAGATTATTTATTGTACAGCAAATGCTACAGAATAAGCAAAACATCCAAACAGATACCATAGATTATCTATTGTACTGCAAATGCTACAGAATAAGCAAAACATCCAAACAGATACCATAGATTATTTACTGTACTGCAAATGCTACAGAATAAGCAAAACATCCAAACTGAAATCCTAGATTATTTACTGTTCGGCAAATGCTACAGAATAAGCAAAACATCCAAACTGAAATCCTAGATTATTTACTGTACGGCAAATGCTACAGAATAAGCAAAACATCCAAACAGATACCATAGATTATTTATTGTACAGCAAATGCTAAAGAATAAGCAAAACATCCAAACAGATACCATAGATTATTTATTGTACAGCAAATGCTACAGAATAAGCAAAACATCCAAACAGATACCATAGATTATTTATTGTACAGCAAATGCTACAGAATAAGCAAAACATCCAAACAGATACCATAGATTATCTATTGTACAGCAAATGCTACAAAACAAGCAAAATAGCTAAACAGATCTATCCTAGATATTTACTGCACAGCAAAGCAACAGAATAAGCAAAACATCCAAACTGAAAATCTAGAATATTTACTATACTGCAAATGCTACAAAATAAGCAAAATGATACCACAGACCATTTACTGCACTATCAAACTACAGAATAAGCAAACTATTGAAACAGATAGCATAGATTATTTACAACACTGCAACAAAGTTCGCGATCACTGCAAAAAATATAAAATTACCAAAGTATCACAGCACTAATCTGTATAAATAAATAAATAAGCATGTAGACACTAAGAAATGGTTCAGACATTGAACTGACCAGCCAGTTTCTTTATTCTTGTCTGGTGACACATGTTTGCCATAGCATTCCAAAGGGCCAATGGTGAAATATCCCTTCTCCTGTTCGCTATTCCCTAGTTGTAAAAATAATTAAGATGAACTTTACAGATGAAGAAAATATTTTCAATGTTGTTAAGTTGTCACATCGTTAAATATTGTGAGTATTCCCATGAGTACATGTGCAGCTGTATAGTGAATGGTGATGTTACAAATGTAACCATGTGGTTCCTCATCTTCCTTAAATCCTGCAGAAGTTCTCATCTACAGAAGTTACTTCACCTACATGAATATCTCAAATGGTATGAATTATCTGATTTTCTACTTCTTATAATAACACATTTTCATCTCAGACCCACCTGTCTCTCCAGCAAAGATAGTATGTACAGGAAGATCTTTCTTGTGTTCAATATAGCCCTCATCAGATCTCCATACATTATCATTAGCATCGCAGTTACACACAGTGGGGGGAGGGTCAGGCAACTCAGTGCTTCTGGCGCAGGATTCATTCATATAACAGGCACAGGCCTTGCTGTCTACATCTGCACCACCCCAGTAGTACCTGCGGAAGCAATACAAGGGGTACTCAATAGTACTAATACATGTGCTTGTATGTTCATGTTAACTGAAGAATCAAAATGATATATTTACAGAGATTGAAGGTGACATGTAAGTCTAAATGCAAGCTATGTTATGAATTTATTCTTGGCACCTTCTTGGCAAAATAACTGTTAATATAAGGATGATGGTGCATATTTTCTCAAATGTGTTGCTAAAAATGTATTTAAGTCCAAAATGGTTTAAACCTTTGTAAACAATAGCATTTTGATCAATCACAGCAACCCATGTAGAACCCACATGGGTTGGCCCCCTTGACTATATGACTGATCCCAATTGATTTTCTCTTATTACTAAACCCCACACTTTGTTGCAGAAACCATATGACCTTTGATGCATCAGCTGTTTTTCAACCAAGGGATGTCCCTTATAGGATTAACCTATAACCAATAACTTACAAATTATTTGCAAGATATTTTTTCATTGGTATAATATGCAATTAATCATGTACAAAATCAGAATTAATCCCTGTTTAGATGACAAACACTGCATCCCTGGTTAAAACCTTAGCAAGCTATTTAAAAGACCTTCAATCTATAAATTCTGAGAATTTGGAGTACTAATCCTTACTTTTGTATGTTTTTCCTGTTGGACCAGAATGTGTTCTTGCTTTCTACATCATAGGGGCTAGTAATGGCTGCATTGTAGCACTCCCATTTAACATACTGCCTACAGTACTCTGATCGGTCCACTAGGGCTATGACATCACTCATCTCTAAGCCATAATCAAGATCTTGTTCATATTCTCCTGGACCCTCATAACCCTGGACCTCCATTTTCTCCTCTTGATTGTGATCTGATAAATAATTTAGAGAATCAGCATTAAGGATATATATTGCACTTTGGATCAAACATGTATTTCTTGAAACCAGAAAGGGATGCAATGGTGACAAAGCGATAATGTGACAAAGTGTCACAAGGTGTAACAATTGTTACAGACACTGATTCCAAAGCTGAATGCTTATTACAAAAAATTGTTACTTTTAACAGTATGTTACTATTTAGTGATATTTCAGTTCCAACTGGTTCAATGAGTTCAGGTTTACATAAGTTAAGGTGGACACTATAGATGGTGTGAACAAACATCATTATACTATTCTACAAGTAAAAATCTCATACAAGTTAAGCAACTTTGCTATTCAAACTCAGTCTCTCTTTAAATGTATGTAGTGTCATTTGATGTGTCATTCTGGATGTACTTACGTAGCACCATGACTCCTACACCATCCATCATCTCCAAGTCACAATATACAAATATAGGGCCATATGACGACTCTTCACCATCTGGATCTACCTCTGCAAGCCTGCTTTCAAGTAAGCCTCTTTCCATCAGCTCTGAACATGTCCGAGCTACAATCATATATCAACTCATGATTTCATCATAGTTTGTAATGGGCAATAATACAGGTGCATTCACTCCATAGCACTTCATTCATGATTGCAATTCCATAGCACTCCATTCAAGATTGCAATAATATTTCTAATATCAATAGGATGGTTACATTCTGGGTTGATGGGAAGAGCAGTGAAATTAATGCAAACATTCTTCTTATACTGTACTCCGGGTATTGTTCGCGTGCGATTTAATTTCGCTTTGTTCGCGAATGTAGTAAAATCGTGAACATTTATCGTCGCGAAATTTGTCTTTTAAATCCCCGGGGATTTGACCCGGGACTTTTGATATGTTTCGTTCGGTGTAAAACGCTGATTTACAGCTGATTGTGATCACTCTTTTTGTATTTGATTATCAACAATTACTAGTATTAGTAATAGTACTATACTCTCAGACTGTATGTTCTTTTTCTTCAATATACAGTACTAGTACATTGAGAAAATGTTAACATGGGGTATTGTTCAATTTTATATCAACAATTGATGTACTTGCTAAGCTCATGCATATGTAAAAAGGCATGTAAGTATGTTAATATTATCGATATGGAGTTTACAGAGCTGGAGGAAAAAATTCAAATTGTGCAATCCGCGAAATGTCATCAACTCAAATCCGCGAAATTAAATAGCGTCGAAATTTACCAGGAGTACAGTATTTCAATTCTCACTTTTAAATGTAATGTAATGTACCTCTGAAATAGTTTTTTATATCTGTAACAGAATATTTTTCATCACCCACCAATCACAAAATTCAGACCATGTTTTGGTAACTCTATGTCTTTTGGGTTTCAAACTGTAAATTAAAGGAAGTACTTTACCAGTGCTTGAGAGAAATACATACCATATGGTTCACAGTCATAGGTGTGGCAATCCTGGGTCTCTGTACTGTTTCCTTCACATTCTTTGGTACGGTCCCCGAATGATGTGGTATTACAGTGGCGCTCCCTGGAACGGGAACCTCCACCACATGTTGTAGAGCAAGGTGACCATGTCTCCCAACTTAACCATAGTCCTGAAACTGTTGCAAATAAAATACAATTAATAGATTACTCAATACAAACATACAATAGGTCAAAGTACAACGGCAAGCTCTGTACATACAGTCTACAGTATAGCAAAACAAACGCATGTGGTCAGCCAAAAAATACACCCAAATTATCTTTCATGACTAATTATGTTGCATTAGTTTCATCTCAACTTTGAGAGCTTTCGATATAAGTTATTTGGAATATGTATACGCAAACTTGTATTTGTACGAGTCAGGTATAGCACAGGGGAGGAACTATGGAATACAAGGTGCTTGAAAGCCCATGATATAAGTTATTTGGAATACGTATACGCAAACTTGTACTTGTACGAGTCAGGTATAGCACAGGGGAGGAACTCAGGAAACGAAGATAGAGTGCTTTCATCTTTCAAATCACAACAAAATATTTGGCAAGTATGTAGTTTGTGAGTTCTGGTTTCAAACATTGATTACAACTGAGAAATTAATTCTGCCATTGCTGGGTTATTCACATATTAATTCCCTCGATTACATTGGATAAGGATTAGGATTACCTTTCCAGTGATGTTTATGTCATTTAAAAGTTAGCCTTGCAGTATAAGTTTGATTGAAAAGTTATATCGAAAGCTCTCTATTAAAATTATGTACTGTACAATGCACATGTACAACAAGCACATATAGCAATACTATGGTAACTAGAGCCATACAATGGTAACTAGAGCCATACTATGGTAACTAGGGCCATACTATGGTAGCAAGAGCAATACTAACTGACTATCAGCCACACGCTATACCAATATCTGTTTTACTCACTGTTACAGTGAAATCACTTCTTGGCATTGTACAGAATATTCAAATCAAAGTTTAGATATACAAGAAAATAATAAAGATAACATCAAATTGCAAAATGGAATAAAAATACAATCATGTAGCTTTATATAAACATTTCAATCAATTCAAATAAAATATGAGACCAATAACCTACTCAGACATGTTTCTGTTCCACATATCTCTGTCTGTGTGTCGGGACCATGACACTCTTCCCCATTATAATATGGGCCATCACATGTCCTGTTACGGGTTCTGATACCTCCACCACATGTAACACTGCATTCGCTCCATAATCCCCAGGTATTGTATACACCATCAACTACAAGTAAAATACACAAATATATGATATGAGGAAAGACAATGCAATACAGACGGTGAACACAACTTGAAGTCTGAATTTCTTTATGATTCATATGATAATGATTTCAGGATGGTAAGGGGAGGGGGCGTACCTGGACAATGATGAGTGTTACAGTCTGCTGTCTCTTGGCTATCTCCCTCACACGGCTTTCCATCATAGAATGGCCCTAAACAACTACGCTCTCGCTGCTTGGCTCCCCCTCCACAGCTAAGTGAGCAATCTCCCCATTGTTCCCAGTCTGCATAAATTCCATCAACTGGAAGTAGCACAATGTTAACATTTAAACAATGACAGATGTATACTTGTATGATAAAATACATAAAACATTGACTTATTTTCAGCCACTCTGTGATGTTGTAAGAGAATGAAACTCTGAGAGCAACATTACTGGAATTCACTGTAGTCAAAAGTTGTTTTGAAGCTGATTATAAAATGATGATGTTTTTATTTAAAAATGTACATTTGTAGCGATAGTGGTTCAATTGTGTAAAAAAATGATGAAACCAGGAAAAATGATGAGTACAATGTATGATGCCCATGATGACAGTTTATGCTATAAGTGAAATGCCAAGCACAGTGATTATGGCAATGGTAGGATTTGTACAAGAACATTTTAGCAGACTGCCAGCTGGCAAAGCAGTTCAAGCAAAAGGAAGTGTTGTGAGATATTCATGTTTAAAATAAATTTTATCAAAGGCATGGCCAATGACAAAACTATAGTTCTCTTTCAAACATTCCTCATTTTAGATATCTTAAGCTAGAAATAGATAGCAGTTAAACATAGCAGCATAAATGGAATGTGTAACCATGCATTATCTTAGCCCAATGAGTTTACTTTTTTTTCGATGATTTAAAAGTTCAGAATGATATTTGGGAGGTGTTGTGGTGTCTCCTGACTACAGGCTTCTACATCAATCAAATGAACTATATAATATGTATCTATGTTTCAAATCAACTCCCTCTGAAATGGATGAAAAAATCAGTGCAGTAACATTTGAATTATTGCCTGAATTGAATTATTGCCTGAATTGACAGATGGAATTACTTTCAGAAAGCTATTATCATCTGTTTCATTCCCTAAAAACTCAAGATTATCTAACTCTTCTTTCTGTCACACATCTGTTTCTATTTGCAAGGATTCCACGACCAAGGTATTCACATTTATTTCCCTATATAAACTGGATCAGTTTGTGAACAGGCATTTGCATATGGGGAAAACATTCATAATTTTCTTATGATCTTTTAGCTGTAAACGTAGCGTCATTATTATTTAATAAGGCTAGGATAAATATGATATATAATAAGCGGGTCAAGCAAAGTGATATGACAAAAAAGCAAATATTGAGTCAAATCCTCTTATTGCGAAACTAATTTAGAAATCATTGATTAGACAAAAGCAAATATTGAGTCAAATTTTCCCTTTGCCAAACTTATTTAAGAAATCATAATTGAAGACAAAATTAACAGAATAATTGAGATAAATAGTCTTCAATTTATATTACACAACAGTTTAGAAATGACTTGTTCACTTACATGGCACTCCAGGTTCTAAAAATCGTAATTGAAATGTTACAATTCTGCAAATCTTATCCAGTAGCCCTTTATATGATAAATGGGATGATACATGTGTTTTGATATAAATGCTCTCATTTTTTTGCATTTATGCATTTGCAATGTAATGAAAATGCAATGAAACAAGTAAAATAATAGAATGTTTTATTTATCTTAAAACTAAATTGTTTTTCATCAATATTCAAACAAATGAAGAAGCATACATTCCAAGGAAAATAACTTGGAAACATTTATAATACTAACCTAACCAGCTAGATCTACACATAGATCTACACTAATAGACTTGAAGACATGACAATGATTACAGTACTACTGTATATGAAATATCTTGTGCTGTGAATAATAATTTATTAATTAATCATTAGTTGCCCCGGCGAAAAAGCATGGAATAATTCCTGATTATTCGTGAATTATTCATCAATATTCATGTAAAATATTCATGAATAATCCACCAATGAAGAATAATTATTCATGAACTATTCATGAATATGCGTGATCATCAATTTGGACACTTCCCCAAAATTCTTCAAAACTGAATTACTGGAATATTCATGAATAAACTTTCAAGGACCCGTGAAGAATAAACAAGAACAAAAAAGAAAGAAATATCAAGGAATTTTTGAAGAATAAACATGAATTTATATTCCTTTTTATTCTTCACATTCTGATTCAGCAAAAATCATGAATTCTTCAAGCATATGCTTGAACATCAATTTGGATATTCTTCATTATTCTTCAAAATCCTTCTATGTTCATCATTTATTACTCATTTTTCATCATATGATAACTAGCACACCTGCCATGAATTATTCAAGAATAAAGATGAATAAAAATTTTAATTGTCGTGGAATTTTATAAGAATAAAGAAGGAGAAATTTTTATGAATCTTTAAGAATACACAAGAATGAGCATTCATGATTTTTGACGAATAAACAAGAATTAATATTCTTCTTTATTCTTCAAATTTCTAGTAAGCAAATTCATGAATTATTCAAGCATATGCTTGAACATCAATTTGGACATTCTTCATTATTCTTCACAATCCTTCTATGTTCATCATTTATTCCCCAAATTTTCATCATATGATAACTTGCTCACCTGCCATGAATTATTAAAGAATAAAGATGAATAGAAATCCTGATTATCAGGAATTTTTTAAGAATAAAGAAGGAGAAATCTTTATGAATCTTTAAGAATACACAAGAATAAACGTTCATGATTTTTGACGAATAAACAAGAATTAATATTCTTCTTTATTCTTCAAATTTCTAGTAAGCAAATTCATGAATTATTCAAGCATATGCTTGAACATCAATTTGGACATTCTTCATTATTCTTCACAATCCTTCTATATTCATCATTTATTCCCCAAATTTTCATCATATGATAACTTGCTCACCTGCCATGAATTATTGAAGAATAAAGATGAATAGAAATCCTGATTATCAGGAATTTTTTAAGAATAAAGAAGGAGAAATCTTTATGAATCTTTAAGAATACACAAGAATAAACATTCATGATTTTTACGAATAAACAAGAATTAATATTCTTCTTTATTCTTCAAATTTCTAGTAAGCAAATTCATGAATTATTCAAGCATATGCTTGAACATCAATTTGGACATTCTTCATTATTCTTCACAAACCTTCTATGTTCATCATTTATTCCCCAAATTTTCATCATATGATTACTTGCTCACCTGCCATGAATTATTAAAGAATAAAGATGAATAGATTATCAGAATTTTTTAAGAATAAAGAAGGAAAAATCGTCATGAATCTCTAAGAATAAACAAGAATAAACATTCTCGTTTTTGAAGAATATATATTAATAAATATTCTTCTTTATTCTTCAAATTTCTAGGAAGCAAATTCAAGAATTATTCAAGCATATGCTTGGACATCAATTTTGATATTCTTCAATATTCTTCACAATCCCTCTATGTTCATGATTTATTCCTCAATTTTCATCATATGATAACTTGACACTTTCCATGAATTATTCAAGAATAAAGATCCTTATTATCAGGGATTTCTTAAGAATAAATGAGAAATCTTCATGAATAAACATTCATGTTTTTGATGAATAAACAAGAATTAATATTCTTCTTTATTCTTCAAATTTCTAATCAAATTGATGAATTATTCAAGCATATGCTTGAAAACTAATTCTTAAATATTCATCGGTAATTCTTCAATTTTCAAACTTCCAGTCACTATTGAGTTCCCAAGAATAAAGATGAATAAACATTCAGGATTATTATTATCACTTTAGAATAATGAAGAATAAATTCTTCATGAATAAACAAGGATTCCTTTATGATTTTTAAGAATGAAAATATTTTAAAGAATAAATGATAAAAACTTACCTCATTTCTTTTTACTGAGTTATTCATGTATATGCATCATGGGTAGTAATCAGAAAATGCTTCATTATGCATCACCTCAATTTTTTATCTGATGTTTGCACTTTCCCTGAGTTTCTCAAGAATAAATATGAATAAAGAATAAACAATTCAATTGAAGTTACATAGAACTGCTTTATATTATTCTTAACAAATACTGTCAAACTACAAAATGAGTGTCCTTCTACAGGAAAGTTACAAAGTTACAAATACAAGTGTCTTGTCAAGTTGCAAATACAAGTGTCTTACGCATCTACATTCTATTTTTTAAGCGTAATGCCTTTTGAATGTTAGCAATTTTTTCCTTCGTAATTTTTGGAGAAGTCTTACAATGTCTTTCCACTAAAGTTAGCACTCTGTTAACATTAGTCTGGTCTAGTGGGGGTCTAGAGCTCTCTGAACGACTTGATTTTTTCCCGGTGACACTATGGAGTATCAACTCTTCTTCTGTGAAAAAATAGCTTACCAGCTTTTTTGTCACTGAACGGACATCACTTGCTGGTAGATGCTTAATAACATCATAAGCAATGTCATTTTCGTCCATATGCATTGCTTTTCTTATTTCAGCAACTTGGTTCTCGAGGTCCTTTACTCTCCTCTTTAGGCTTCTAATAGTTCTAGCAGACCTATATTGAAATAAATTGGAGACATTCAAAATCACAGGTATTTTTTCATACTTTTTTCTGAAAGGTAAACATGGTCATGCAGGGGTTTCAATAAATATGTTTTCAACAGGCTTTTTTGGCGATTTCAATAGGCTGGAACTTATTTCACCAAAATTGCTAAGGACAATGAATTTTTTTCTCAATATTTGAACAGGCATACTTGTGATTTTTTGCCGTCTGCCTGACTCATTATGAAAAGGCCAGAGGGATTAAAGAAGTAGTTTAAGTAAACCTCTTTCAGTAACTAGTAATTTATGCTTGAGTTAACAACGTGAAATAAATAGGTAAAAATTATCTTACTTGTTCCCAGAGTTTGGGGGATTTTCTTCTTCCAAGTCTTTCAATGAATGCTCATCTTGGTTGGTTTTAATTTTTTCCCTTGATGCCTTTGCAGATCTGTTATAAATAAATTGGTGGCATATTTAAAATCTGAGGCATATTTTAATTTTATACTTTATTTCTGAAAGGTGAAACATGGTCATGCAGGAGTTTCAATAAATATGTTTTTAATAGACCTTTTGGCAATTTTAATAGGATTTCACTAAAATTGGTAATTTCTCAAAATTTGAACAGGCTTAATTGTGATTTGAAATGGTTTTTTGCCATCTGCCTTTG